TATACTAAGCACGATATACTAGTGAGACTATACTAAGCACGATATACTAGTGAGACTATACTAAGGCACGATATACTAGTGAGACTATACTAGTGCACGATATACTAGTGAGACTATACTAAGCACGATATACTAGTGAGACTATACTAAGCACGATATACTAGTGAGACTATACTAAGCACGATATACTAGTGAGACTATACTAAGCACGATATACTAGTGAGACTATACGAATACAGTGAGATATACTAGTGAGACTATACTAAGCACGATATACTAGTGATACTAGTATACTAGATACTATACTAAGGCACGATATACTAGTGAGACTATACTAAGCACGATATACTAGTGAGACCTATACTAAACACGATATACTAGTGAGACTATACTAAGCACGATATACTAGTGATATACTAAACACGATATACTAGTGAGACTATACTACTAACGACTACTAGGCACGATATACGATATACTAGTGAGACTATACTAAACACGATATACTAGTGAGGCTATACTAAGCACGATATACTAGTGAGACTATACTAAACACGATATACTAGTGAGACTATACTAAGCACGATATACTAGTGAGACTATACTTAACACGATATACTAGTGAGGCTATAAGGCTATACTAAGACTATATACGGTGATATACTAGAGAGGTTATACTAAGCAATATATACTACTAAGGCTATATACTACTAAAGGTATGCTAAGCAATAAGCATACCAGAGAGGCTATACTTGGCACGATATACCGGAGGGGCTATATTTAGCACAGATACATAACTGAGGTTGTTTAACATTAGCATGTTAACAAACTCTTATTTTTAACAAAATTAATAAATACCCTTTCGTGTCAGTGGATATCCTGTTCCATCGATTCCTTGATTGTTTGGTTTCTACGTCAAGTAACAAACACTTACTGTGCAAGCTGTGTAAGTGACGACTGCTTGCCCGTTTCACAAGGCATGCATACCCTTCTCGCCAATACCTGGTGTCACCGTTGATATCCAATGATGCGTTCGTATACCAATATTTTCACCACTATTTGTTCTTCAGTGGAATCTGTTTCTGAGACTTGTTTTTCCTGGCTTTGACGTTATGCATTTACTAAATCTACGACAGGTTTTATTGCCCAAATCGCTTCCACTACTTCGACTAACGAGTCATGCTTAGCTGAATCAAATCGCGTAACAATCGACATCCATCACAGCGACACAGGAAATTTCGGTTGATTGCAGGATTTGCAAAATATGTGTACCTAAGATGTTTCCCCAAAGTTTTAAAGTTGTTTAATCTACGTGTTCGTCTTGACTGGGCGCCACCAAGTAGAATCCAAATGACGAGTAGGAGGAACTTACAAGAGACTGAATACCCTATGACACAGAACACCATGTGACACATGAAACTATACAGCGTAACACGCCACTCAGAGAGACCCGTGAAGATTTAGCCGATTTTGGTGATTTATTCGTATTCCGTTTGAGTAGATTGATGTACATGATGTGAATCACTCGATTGTATGGTTCGATTATTTACAGAGAGCCGTCATGTGGAATACTGCTGCCAGCGGCGCTAAACAGCAAAACAAACAATACTGTAGGGTGGCCACACTTATACCCTGTCTTCCGACTAGATTCCGGATGACACATCACTGTGTGGTACACCTCATTAAAACAGTGTGCAGAATACCACACTGCACATAATGCGATATGTCGCACAGATTACCACATGTGTATGTGGTACGCCGTGCTATTTACCCTATCGCTCTGAACACTGTATGAGACGTTACTCATTTCACTATGTGGTACGTCACGCTAATAGTATGTATATTATCGGACGTCACACGGTATATCATATTACACGTTACACATATTACTATATCATACGTCACGCTATGTATGTTATCGGAAAGCACACCGTATATCATATTACACGTTACACATATCACTATATGGTACTTCACGCTATTTATGTTACCAGACGTCACACTGTATATCATATTATACGTTACCCATATCACTATATCATACGTCACGTTATGTGTGTTATCGGATCTCACACCGTATATCATATTATACGTTACACATATCACTATATCATACGTCACGTTATGTATGTTATCGGACATCACACCGTATATCATATTATACGTTACACATATCACTATGTTGTACGTCACGTTATGTATGTTATCGGACGTCACACTGTATATCATATTATACGTTACACATATCACTATATCATACGTCACGCTTTGTATGTTACAGGACGTCACACCGTATATCATATTATACGTTACACATATCACTATATCATACGTCACGCTATGTATGTTATCGGACGTGACACCGTACATCATATTATACGTTACACATATCAATATGTGGCACGTCACGCCATGTACCCTATAGAACGTCACACCGTATAGTATGTGAGACGTTACACTGAAAACAATGTGATACCACACATCGAATATCCTTTCATAGGTCATTCATATTACTTTGTCGTCAGTCTGTAGAGCTACTAAAATGTGACAAACACAACACTATGTCACACTGACTACCATCCAAGGCATCTCACAGAGTACCCCTGGAGCGTTATCTGGGAGGGGCGGTGGGGTAGCCTAGAGGTTAAATCGTTCGCTTGTCTCGCTGAAGACCCAGGTTCGAATCCATGCAACAGTACAATGTGTGAAGCCCATTTCTGTTGTACCTCGGCGTGGTACTGCTGGAATTCTAAAAGCGGACTAAAACCCGAATAACACACTTACCTGGGTAGGTCATGTAATAGAAAGAAGTCCGGAAAGCATTGAAGCTTTCAGGAGTGCTGTACCTCTCTGTCCGAAGACAACATTTTAAATAGACGGTCGAATGAAAAAAACGAGAGGCAGGTCAGATTAAGTAGACACATGTTGGCGCAGTCTATCAGCGTAACATTCTGCAACACGTGACAGCTGGGGAGAAGTAAGTTTGTGAAAACAAGCCTTGCAAATGTAATTCCAACTGTGCACGCAGACATTGTTATCAGGACAGGTACCTCCAAACGAGGGGAAAACGTTGTAGAGCCTAACTACGTCTGTACAATGCTACAGGTGACAAGTTCCAGCGGTGCTCACAACTGATGTTAAAGTTGTTCTAGGGAAGCTCACAACTGATGTTAAAGTTGTTCCACAAAAGCTCACAACAATTGATGTTAAAGTTGTTAGTAACAGTGGGCAACTCTTGACGTTGAAGTTGTTGAAACAGACCACAAACTATGTCCAGTCCGGCACTACAACGCCAGCTTTCACAGGTTTTCAAAATCAAGTCTCCACGGTAAGGTTGAAGTTAACAGATTCTGCGACTATGTGCAGTTAAACCTTTCCAGAAACATGTAATGTTAATCAATATGCTTCGCTGCAGTTAGCTGCAGCTTCATGTTATCAAGGCAGCCCTATATATGCGTCTTGTGTCGTACTCGAGTTCCCATTGATATCTTCTCATTGAAGACACGTATGTACATACTGAATTATTTTGTTACGTTTTAAGAAATGAATCTCATTGACACGACATTTTCGTGTCCCAAAATCAACTACACCTAAACGCCTAAAATCTAATCGTGACGGGTATTATTTAGCTCATAGAAAAATAAGGTGTTGCTGTTGTAACGTCGTTCTGTGCAAATATCCAACTCATTTTCTCAGGGTCTAGCATGACCAGTTAAGGTTTGAACCTTATAAGCCACTCTCAAGCTACAAATAACGTTCCCAGGTCATATTCTACCTTGCTGTGATTTGCCCCAGTTGGTCAATGGTAGAACAAGTTATCGTGAAATGGTAGAGCAAGTTATCGTGAAATGGTAGAGCAGGTTATCGTGGAATGGTAGAATATATTATCGTGAAATTGTAGAACAGGTGATCGTGAAATGGTAGAACAGGTTATCGTGGAATGGTAGAACAGAAAGGTTAGCATGAAATGGTAGAACGGGTCATCGTGAAATGGTAGAACAGGATATCGTGGAATGGTAGAACAGAAAGGTTAGCACGAAATGGTAGAACGGGTCATCGTGAGATGGTAGAACAGGTTATCATGGAATGGTAGAACAGGTCATTGTGTACTGGTAGAACAGGTTATCGTGGAATGGTAGAACATATTATCGTAAAATGGTAGAGCAGGTTATTGGGAAATGGTAGAACAGGTCACCGTAAAATGGTAGAACATTTTATCGTGGAATGGTAGAACAGGTTATCGTAAAATGGTAGAACATTCTATTGTGGAATGGTAGAGCAGGTTATCGTGGAATGGTAGAACAGGTTATCATGAAATGGTAGATCAGGTTTTCGTGGAATGGTAGAAGGGTTTATCATGTACTGGTAGATCAGGTTATCGTGTAATGGTAGAAGGGTTTGACGTGTAATGGTAGAACAGGTTATCGTGAAATGCTAGAACAGGTTATGATTAAATGGTAGATCAGGTTATCGTGTAATGGTAGATCAGGTTATCGTGGAATTGTAGATCAGGTTATCATGAAATGGTAGATCAGGTTATCGTGTAATGGTAGAAGGGTTTATCGTGTAATGGTAGATCAGGTTATCGTGTAGTGGTAGAAGGGTTTATCGTGTAATGGTAGAACAGGTGATCGTGTAATTGTAGATCAGGTTATCGGGTAATAGTAGATCAGGTTATCGTGTAATGGTAGAATAGGTTATTGTGAAATGGTAGAACAGGTTATCGTGAAATGGTAGATCAGGTTATCGTGTAATGGTAGATCAGGTTTATCGTGTAATGGTAGATCAGGTTATCGTGTAATGGTAGATCAGGTTATCGTGGAATTGTAGATCAGGTTATTGTGAAATGGTAGAGCAAGTTATGGTGTAATGGTAGAACAGGTTATCGTGAATGTTACCATATAGCTATAACTCCGTGTTGTTGTCATGTCTATTAAACTTTCTAAAATTAATTTTCTTGTCCAAACCCAAACTGATAAGAATTTCATGCTTGGAGATAACAGTCAACATGGCGGTGTTTCGCATGGCATTCATTGCCATTTTATGTGGAAACATCAACAATATATCGTCGATCACAGGTAACGAACTAAAACAGGCGATTGGGGAACTGTGACTAGTTGTTTGTTCATACAGAAACGTTGAGATTATGGTTATTGTTATTTTATCCTTCAACTAAATGTACAGGAACATATGCGGTCTATATCATAACGATAGCGCTTCTCAAAGACAAACTTCTGTAATTCGTATACGTGTCCATCTCGTTAAAAGGCACTGCAGAGTTGCGCCCCTTAAGTGCATTTAGTTCGAATTCCGGTTCGATATCAGTGTGTTTTAAGATTTGGTCGTAGGTTTCAACCAGTCATGTTTCACCATGTCTTTCAGTGGCATTTAGAAGTTGTACAGTGATGTCCAAGATATTTTATGGATTAAACTTCTTTTTAATTTCTCTCACAACGTTTCGACGTTTCGAGACCATTCCAGGTCCCTTCATCAAGTGAACTGGCCAATGGTCTGGAATGGTCTCGAAACGTTGTGAGAGAAATTAAAAAGAAGTTTAATCCATAAAATATCTTGGACATGTTTCACCATGTTGTGGTAGATAAATAATAAAATGAACGTTGTTTGATCGTCTGTGCAGTGAGGTACTAACGACGGATATAGTCTTACTTGATGTTGCAGAACCTGGATTGGAGGGGGTCAAAACTATCAATATTGATCAATATATAAGATTTATCTGCATGGCGTTCGGGGGCTGGTGAAATTACATGTATGCAGAGAGTCACACAATATGCTCTCAAACTTCACTAGTGATATGAATATTTATAGAAATAGTATTAGATTAACAGAAAACTTTGTCAAGCGTTATAATTCGAGACTGTCAATATCCTGACAGATTGTGAATAATTACATAAACATGTATGTTACAGACTCAGCTTATCTTGGAAAGGAGTTTGGCCTGGCGTTCTTTTCCAGCTTCCACGAATCACCTGACCACGCCCTCCTTAATTACGTCGTGATACAGTCCGAGGAGGGGGGAGAGTGCACGGTAGAATACAAACCTTCGGACAACAGTCAACACAAAATAGTGCACCATGAACGCATCGCCGTCGGCGGAGTAATAAAAATAGGTCTTCCGGAAACCACTCAACTAAATCTCCAGTCTGAGATTTCCCACAAAGGTGTTTCGGTGTCCTGTACCGATGACGTCCTTGTCTTCACCCTCGACAGACACTACGGCGATGCCAACGTGGTTCATGCCGTCCCAACAAAATCACTGTCACACGGCTACTACATTCCAGGCGTCCCTAACAACGCCATCCTCGGCGTGGTTGCTATGGAAGATAACACTCATGTTACCGTAAAACTGAAAACGAAATGTAAGTACAACTACAATAACAGAGACTACGGCAACTCTGACGTCATCAGCGTCACTCTGGCGAGAATGGAAGTGTTCGCCTTGTCGACGGGTCATGTCGACTTCTTTGGAGACGAAGGATGTGACCTTGGTGGAACCCATGTCACAGCGAATCACAACTTTGTCCTTTATTCGGGAGGTTCTTGTACCTTCTTTGGTGACGACCGAAGTTCTTCAGCCGATGGCTGCGATAAGATCCTGCTTCAGGTCCCTCCCCCGGTGATGTGGGGCAAGGACTTCCTAGTTCCAGACATGGCGGGGGATAATAAGGGATATCAAATGAGGGTCCTGGCCAGCGTGGGCAACACTGACGTCACGTTGTCCGTCTACAATGGAGGTGCTCCGACAACTATCCACAACAGGTTAGGTGCTGGAGAGTTCATCAACCACTCCGCTAAAGACAACTCCACTGTGGTCGTCCACTCGTCCCAACCAGTACTTGTGGTCCAGTTTCTAACCTATGACCCCATGACCCTTCTCGTTCGACCAATAGAACACTACCCGGGTATCACCAAATTTGGGTCTAGATATATTTTTGTTACCATGGAAAAGACAATCGGGATGCAAAATTATGAAGATTATGAAAATTACATAACCTTGATAACGTCATCGGGTCACACCAAGGATGTCCGACTGGACGGGAAACAACTGACTGGCGTCCAGTGGCAAAACGTCCCTCAACTCGGCTACTCCATCGCTAGGTTGCCGGTGTCGTACGGATCACACATGGTGGACAGCGTCGCCTCCAGCAGTCCATGTGCTGTCCAGGTGTATGGCTATTCCAGGGAAGAAGGCGAGGCGTATGGTTACACCGCAGTGTCAACTTGCAGTAAACAATGCACTGATCTGGGTGAGTCTTGTAGTCATCCGCGACGTCATATTCTGTTCCGTGAAATATTTTATTTGCATGTGTAGCGACATTTTTTCAGGATATTACCCGTGAAGATCCGGGTTAGAATCGTTCTTCAGCAACCCAGTCTTGTCTTTAAGAGGCGACTAACGGGATCGAGAGGTCAGGCTCGATGATTTGGTTCACGCATGTCATCGTATCCCAATTGCGTAGATCAATGCTCATGCTGTTGGTCACTGGATTGTCTGGTCCAGACTCGATTATTTACAGACCGCTGCCATATAGCTGTAATATTGCTGAGTGAGGCGTTAAACAACTACCAAACAAACAAAATCATCTTTAGGCTATTTTAACATGTTTATATGACATAATTGGTGAAGTTGTTGACTTCATAGCTGGTATAAAGTGACGTTAATATATTGCGTCACGTATTGCTAACATAGTCTGACGTTAGTCCACATTGATATTATTGCCGACACAATGTGGGTTATTGTTGACGTATAGTGACGCTAAAATAGTACGTTATTGCTGACAGAAAGTGATCCTGTAGCTGACAGAAAGGGTTGTTATTGCTATTATAAAGTGGCGTCTCTGCTGGCATGCTATGACGTTAGATTTGACATTCAGTTTCACCATTATGTCAGACTATTGCGGCATCACGTAACGTCATCACTGACGTGTTGTGAAGGGATGCATTATAACCGACACAACTGGCGTTAAAACTTGCCTCAAGTGTTGCTTCTTTAAAGAAACCGACTCGTTCATTTCAGACCTGTCCTCAATAGTGACAGACGCCCAGTTGACGACAGGCATAGCGGACCTCATAAACCAGGTGGGGACGGACGCCACAGAGAAACAGTGCCAGGGGGCGTGTGTCAACTCCGTCAGCGCCATCCCCGCAAAAGCATGTCCCAAGATCTGCTCTTCGTAAGTATATGCCGCTGATATCTATGCATACACATTACTTTCCCCATATGGGCAGGTCATTGTACGTTCTTAGGGTGTACAGACGTGTTTAAGTCATGTCAAGTGCGTGTGTGTGTGACCGCTGTGATGTGACCGGGTGCGTGCATGTGCGTACGTACGCATGCGTGTTGCTTAAAGTCACAGAATTCCATCTTTATCCCGCTGGCATGTAATGACGTGGTTCAGAAAATGCAGTGATCGATGTGCAACGATTAAGACCGTGGGCAACGCCAATGGCAACCCAGTCCACAAAATGACTCTTCCCAGGTTCGAATCTCATGTATTTTAACGTAAGTAAAAGCGGTATTAAACCCCATATGACTTTTCGGTAGGAGGTATTATTAATAGAAGGATACGTCTATATGTCAACGATTGCGTTGTGTTAGACCAGATCAATTGGAAAGATCCGAAGATATCTAGATGAGATAATAGCAGCATCAGTTCAGGCCTACATCACATCTCGCCATGATTACTGTAACTCACTCCTCTATGGTCTCCCAGCTCATCTTGTCAAGAAACTGCAGCAGGTCCAGAATGCAGCGGCTCGTGTGGTCACTCTTACTCGCAAGTTCAAGCACATCACCCCTGTCTTGAAGAGACTTCATTGGCTACCTGTTCGCTACCGAACCATCTACAAGATTCTGCTCCTCACTTTCAAATCTCTGCACAATCTTGCTCCTAACTACATCTCAAGTCTTATTCAGCCATACCAACCTCGGCGCAGTCTGCGGTCAGCTGACAGCCATTTCCTTGTGGTACCAAGCTCCAGAACCAAGTCTTACGGCGAACGGTCTTTTGCATCAGCAGTACCATTCTTATGGAACAAACTCCCAATCAACATACGGGCCTCACAAGAACTCTCACTCTTCTAAACCAAACTAAAAACTCATTGTTTAGCCAAGCCTACTGAATCTCACTGTATAGATGTTGAACTCAAAGCGCTTTAGAGCAGTGCTTATCTGATTTTAGCACTATATATGTATGTATGTATGTATGTATGTATGTATGTATGTATGTATGTATGTATGTATGTATGTATGTATGTATGTATGTATGTATGTATGTATGTATGTATGTATGTATGTATGTATGTGTGTGGACGGACGGACGTGTGTGGATGTGTGTTGTGTGTGTGTGGACGGATGGATGGATGGATGGATGTGTGTGTGTGTGTGTGTGTGTGTGTGTGTGTGTGTGTGTGTGTGTGTGTGTGTGTGTGTGTGTGTGTGTGTGTGTGTGTGTGTGTGTGTGTGTGTGTGTGTGTGTGTGTGTGTGTGTGTGTGTGTGTATGATACCGGTGAACATTACAATGATGAACGTATGTCAGTCTGTGTTAATATTGCCATGGTGTTCCCCACTCGCCAGTCCCCCTGGTCACACTGTCCCTATTACCAACTTGTTCTTTATTACATGGGGTGGTGAGGTAGCCTAGTGGTTCGAACTTTTAGTTGTGATTATAGTTATACGATTCCATGTATCAGTTATTAGAACAATGTATATACTGTAGACACAACCATTGACAGTAACACATGTTTGTTCTTTTTCAGATTTCTCTTCTATACACAAAAGTATTACTCTCACTGAAGCGGACGACGAAATCAGAAGTATATGTACACTCACCTGTTGGGCATTATCGTTTAAATCGAAAATTCGATTAGTAAAATCAAAACAGCAGTTATCTTTAATGTCAATGAATACCAAAGGCAGCAGACGGTGTTGTTCGACCCCGAATCCAGGAGTGTTCCAGCTACAGCTGTCTTCAAACATTTTTTGTCCGATAGCTCTGTTTAACGCCGCACTCAGCAATATTCCAGCTATATGGTGTCAGTCTGTAAATAATGGAGTCTGGACCAGACCATCCAGTGATTAACATCATGAGCATCGATCTACGCAATTGGGAACCGATAACATGTGTCAACCAAATCAGCGAGCCTGACCACCCGATCACGTTAGTCGCCTCTTACGGCAAGCATGGGTTGCTCGTGAGCGTTTCTAACTCGGATCTTCACGGGTACATTGTTTAAAACAAGGATATGTTCCTTATCTGGCTCATACCCATGTACAGAGGTGTAGACTGGGATTCAAGAAGAGTTCCCCATTACTCGATGATATTGTAACACTCGATCAAGGTAGAACCTGGTTGGTGGCAAATGCATTGGGTGGATATACCGTGGTGTGAGCCGAGTCTAAGACAGAGGATAATGGTGACTGAAGCGTGCGTAAAAGTTCAGCACTACATCGACAAATGATGCGTCTCTTAAATCCACGTTACAGCTGGTTGTCTGTGTGCTACTCCTGTTAACCCCTGAATTAAATGTCGTGGCAGAAAAACTGTATAAAGTCAGTCATAGTGTTAACTTATGGAATAATTATCCTCGAGCACATCGGGCGTAAAGGTGCAACACTGGTGAAATATTATGAATAGATCACTTAAACTCACTGAACATGTCTTCAGTGTTGTCCTGCACTACCGGCCACACTCGTAACTCACACCAGATGTTCTCGGAAGGGGTACGCATGTCTTGTAGGCAGTACCGGTTGCAATATATACAGATGCCATCTGTGAACAAAGGTTTGGATTTTGGATACATTTTGAGATCATTTAATATTTGTATTATATATTCGGGCGGTGGGGTAGCCTAGTGGTTAACGCGTTACGTCGTCACGCCGAAGGCCCGGGTTCAATTCCCCACATGGGTAAAATGTGTGAAGCCCATTTCTGGTGTCCCCCGCCGTGTTATTGCTTGAATATTGCTAAAAACGGCGTAAAACGCAACTCACTCACTATTATATATTCTTTCAATGTTATATTTCGGATACCGTTACACTGTTACCGTTATCAAGTACGTGATCAACAAGCGAGAAGGACATACTTATCTAATACAGAGACTTCTGAACAACAAACAGGGATAACTCTGTTATAATAGGGGTGAAGTCAGGCATGGTCACAGGGATGAAGTTACCTTGGTCTCCGTTGAGAACCCGAGGATATGTTTGACCATGTATACTAAATCTAAACTTCTCTTCCTAGACGCCCATATCTAGAAGCAGGACAACAAACCTTAAAGTAAAGAATAATAAATCCACCCATGAGGAACAGTACATCGGAAATATGTCCATCCACCGATCACAACTCCAGATCCTGTTGTACGGTCGTCAATAGAACCATCACATCCATAGTATCACCCTGAACCAGACCTTGGCGGCATCAGACAGCACCATTCACTCTTGCCACCCCAAATCAAGCCAGATACGATCCAAGATGGACACCGCCTACTCACACACCAACACACAAACCGAAACATGAGTCTCATGAACCAAATTCAGATAATGACCTACTTTTCAGCCGATCCGAATTTTCTCGTGTGAAAGTGAAAAGAGACACTACAAACAACTATGGTTATACGATATTCCGATTCCTCGTTTCATAAGAAAATGGTATTTACAAATGAATTTTAATTTTAAACTTTACAAAAATCGTATTTCTATATTTTATGGCGAGGTTTAGGGAGCATGTGGTTAACTAAGACGTCACAGACTGCCCCTGTTTGAACAGGTCGTACAATGATTCACAATTCATTTGGCTTACTGGTTACACCTGTTATGTGGTCTTTGCGCTTATTAGGTGTCTTTTTGTAACGTACAGTGTGATTAATATAATATCAAGGCCGTACAAGACCACCAAACCTTTTTAGCGGCCGAGCCTCGTTTTGAGGTTTCCACGATTTCTAGATTTCCGTTTGTCAGAGCACGATGTACGACAGAGCACGCTGCAAGACATGTTTGCAAGGATTAGTAGCGTGGTGTTGCAATATACAAGTGATTAGATGTATTAAATAGTACTGATTTATTTTTATATAACCAGATGTATGAGTTTGTCTCAAAATTCTGGACTGGATATTGTACTAAGTTGCGCAATAAGACGGAACACAGTCGGCATGAAACGAGAATGTGTAATCAATGTTTTGACTTTGTTTTGAAGTCAACCATCCAGGACACAGAGCGACCCACGGCAGTCAACATCAACCCCAACAATGACATACATCAGATACACATACACGGAGAAGCATACAGACTCCTCATTACAGTATATTACATCAGACTCCACATTCGCTATCTCCGATCACATTCAGGTAAACTCCAGTGACCGGATCCAGTGGGCGAGCCCCATCGTCCTTGCCTTCAATCTTAAACACAACACTAGACATATTACAGCAGTCATACACTTCACATCACATAACCATGGTTACTCCATCCACGAAATGTAAACACATGCAAAACGTATATACAAGGAAAGCAATCAGCCTCCATTATCTGCATAAGCAGATTCAACTTGGAGTAAACAGTGCTGCAAAATGAGAAACAGTGCTTCAATATGCTCGTGGGGGCGCGGTGGGCGAACTGTCTAGGGCGCCAGGCTAGTAATCCAGCGAGCTTGGAGGTGCCGGGATCGAGCCCACCTGTGACCGGGTGTAAAAAACCTTGGACCTTGGAGTCAACTTTGTGTTCAGTGTTGTCACAACCTTTAGTGTACAGTGCACAACCCTGTGCACTTTGTGTGCAGACTCTTTCCGTGTTGTCAGAACCCCTAGTGTACAGTACACAACCCTCTGCACTTAAAAGAACCCGCGAATCCGTTGGTAGATGACCAGATGGTGGCCACATAAATACGTGCAAACACCTAGTTGCGGGTACAGCAACGTGAAGTGAACTTGGGCAAAGTACTGTGACTATGTGTCCCAGTCCACCCAGCTGTGAATGGGTACCTCGTAAGGATGGAAAAGCCACATTAACTCGATGCGCCTAGTAGGCAGCAAGAGTTTTATGCTCCCCAGGGAGTTGAGATTGAAAATACGATTTGACGTTGTGATGGACATCCAATGATCGAGGGAAAACAAAGCGCCTTTGAGCAGTTGGCGCTATACAAATGTTTGTATGTATGTATATGCTAAGTTATAAACAATGTTTATATCACAAAACATAGTTCTACTCTATGAGATTAAGTGATGTGAAACAGTGCTACGATATGGAGAACAGTAATATGCTATGAGAAACAGTACTATACTATGAATGGTAACTCTTCGTCACTTGAAACAGTGCTGCATTATGAAAAAACAGTGCTACACTATGAGAAACAGTAACGCAAAATGATACTGTGCTACAATGTGTGAAACATTCCTACACTATATTTGAATCCGTAGCCCAATACGTGAAAACGTGCTACCCTGTGTGAAACAGTACCACATGATATGAAAACTGTCCCGTGAGAAGCGAGGATGCACTTTTTTAACACACAGTTACACTATGACTAACTTTTAAGCAAGAGGAAAGGTCTACCTAGGACGTTTGTCCCTTTGGTACAGATCCGGGTTAGATCCATGCTTGTCGGAAGAGGCGACTAACGGGATCGGGTGGTCAGGCTCGATGACTTGGTTGACAAATGTCATCGTATCCCAATTATCTAGATCGATGCTCATGATGTTGATCACTGGATTGTCTGGTCCAGACTTGATTATGTACAGGCAGCCGCCATATAGCTGGAATATTGCTGAGTGCGGTGTTGGACAGCCAACCAACCAACCAAACAACCCCTTGGTACATGAGCACGTGTGGGCTGGACAGGAATCAGGGCGAGTCTCTGATTGGACGACATTTTGACACGCCTGGGGGACCATGGAGTGTGAGCGGCCTGAACGACTGGGCCACTCATACTGTGAGAAACCATGATACACAGAGAGAGACCCTTTTCTCCTTTGAGAAAAATGGTACACTATTAATTAACATTGAGCTCTATGGTTCGGTTATAGGAACAAGATTGCTATGCGCCAATGCTTGATATTGAAGTTGTTTTCAGCATGCAATTCTTGCCAGAGCCGAGTCAGGCCTGGTGACGTGTTCGAAGAATATCATTGTATCTCTTTTCCGAAGATTGATGCTCGTGATGTCAGTCACTGTATTGTCTGGTCCAGAGTAGTCTCGATAATTCACAGATCGCCATCATATATTGCTGAGTACAGGATTAAACAACAAATATATAGTATGAATGTTTTAGCGAGAATTAGAATTGGGCTTACATATTGTAGAATCATGTGTCATGATGTCTAATTTGCATAACTACCGGAAGTGTCTGTCTTGTTCTCTACCACGCATGCGTCCTCTCCTTTCCGTCCCGCCTGCCATGCTTGTGCGGCGTATATCATAACCTTCCATATATACTGTAAGACTGTCTGGAGAAATAGACATATTGACAGGATGGAGCTTGCCTACTTCAAGTGGGTTACCTTTTTGGATCTGTCTGTGCAGATTGCCTTTGTCAACAATCTAGTTTCCCCCTCAATGTTAATTTCTGCCTACAGTTATATGGTTAATATTACAATTGTGAACTGATGTTTGGTAAACATTTTACTGTTCAGCTCTTGGATGCTCTCTCTTGTTTGGCGGGCTTTGGTGGTGTTTATAGTATTTTAGGTCAGTCTTGGGCTGTGTGATATTTTTCACTTCATTGACTTGTTTACCTCTATTATTAAACTCCACCTTAACCGCCAAACAAGTGTTTGTTTATTTTCTTCATAGTGTGGATGGAGGTCTAGCAAATTACGAGTATTTCGTTTATTCCCAGTTTTCATTCCACCCACATACGTTATATCAGGAGATGGCTGGTCAACACAGAAAGATAAAGACATTAGCTCGGTGTGATTGTGTGTTATGAAAACAGATACGGAAGTTCAATCAAACCATTTAAAGTATTTACTCTGTCTATAAATGTCGAGGCAGCTATGTAAACACAGGTGCATGTACTGATGCTATAATCAACACTGCACGCCCTATACATGCCTTCATAAAGATGAGTTGCTAGTAGAAACAGGATGTAATGTAAGGCCGCAAATAATTCCCTGTACAGTTTTTATCTCAACAGAAAACAGCGATTGTAATGTACACCTGAGATCGATTCACATGACTGTGATGTGGGAGAGGTGCACTTCGACTGGACGCTCGTGAGTTAGCAGTGTCGCTGATCAGTGGCGCTCTGATAAAATGTGGTGAAATGCGGTTTAACGTCGAACTTAAGAATATTTCGCTCATATGACGACGTGCATGCATATGTATGTGTGGCTTCTTAAGTTGGTTTTATAGTGCTAACCTACTGAGATACCATGTCGCAGTTAAGCATGAATGCCCCACTCAGACACATTATACTGACTCCGAGTCGACGAGTCCTTGTCCCAGGAAGGGACCGAACCCGCGACCTTCCGCTTTCTCTGCGGACGTTCTAACCACTACAGCACGAAGGCGGGGGTGCTGTGACAAACCGTCTTTTCCAGGTCTAGATTGTCATGATTGGCAATATCCTAGTTATCTATACTGGTATATTTAGGGGCGGTGGGATAGCCTAGTGGTTAAAGCGTTCGCTCGTCACGCCGAAGACACGGGTTCGATTCCCAACATGGGTACAATGTTTGAAACCCATTTCTGGTGTCCCCTGCCTTGATATTGCTGGAATATTGCTAAAAGCGGCGAAAACGATACATACTCACTCACTCACTCACATACAGACAGTTTATATCGTCAGTATAACTATTCAGTATTACGTTCATACATTTAATCATTTTAATGACAGCATCACTTAATGCTCACCGCTACATTCAGTTTATCAGATGTTCCCCAAGCCTGTGTTGGTCGGAGAAGGAGATCATATACAGCCATGAGGTGGCTACACTTGGGTCCCGTTACACAAAGCTGCCGTAGCTCTGCGACTATCCAGGGCCCCGTTCCACAAAGCGATCGTAGCGCTAAGGTGATCGTAACTCCCATACTTTAACATAGACTTACGACGGCCGTAGAGCTACGATCGCTTTGTGAAACGGGCCCCTGACTCCTATGCTTTAATGTAAACTTACGAGATTCGTAGCGCTGAGATCGTTTTGTGAAACGGGCCCCTGACTCCTATGCTTTAATGTAAACTTACGAGATTCGTAGCGCTGAGATCGTTTTGTGATCACAACATTGTCTTGTCCATAGACGCCATCATATACCGATCGTTTTAGTTGCAATAGGGACAACGAGATGTGCCGTCATCGTCTCCAGACCCAGGTTACATTGTCTGGTCCAGACGCCATCATATACCAGTCTTTTAGTTGCAATAGTTAGACAACAAGATGTGCCGCATCTTTGTCTCCAGATCCAGGTTACACTTTCTTTTTGTCAGAAACATAGTGATTAACTGTTCAGCTACAAAAGTCAAATTAATAGAAATACAAGTGGATATGCGAAGATATCAACAGCCCAACTGGTACAAGTACTTGGTGCAATGATTTCTCCTAATTTCCATGATGCAGATATTACATTGCTGATCTATCAAACAGTGGGAAACAAGTTTTCGTCAAAATAAATAATTTTAAATGAGATTGGAAAGACTGATCGAAAAGTATATTTTAAAATGTTACTTATGTTTGCCACAACAGTATGTTACAGAAATATGTGGTTACCGGCGGCATAAACAATTAGAAGGAGTTTTTCTTTGCCATGTAAAAGGTTTTTAAAGATGGGAAATACATACGAAATACAATCGTCAGCTCCGAAGGTTGTCACCAACCCTGTGTGTCAATGCGCATGTCCGTGTTACAAAGTACTGGTTAAAATTCAACAGAGGCACGAAAGATCCCATTTAAAATTGATCTTCATAAATCCATGTTTGTCGTAAAAGGCGACTAACGCGATCGGGTGGTCAGGCTGTCTGACGTGGTTGACACATGTCATCGTATCCCAGTTGCGGAGATCGATGCTCATGCTGTTGATCACTGGATTGTCTGATCAACTCGATTATTTACAGACCGCCGCCATATAGCGGGACTATTGCTGAGTGCCACCCAACCAAAACAAAATGGTTTAATGCATGTACATGCATTTCTATAATATTGATCAGCAAACTTGGGTAACATCTGTTCTCAAGGTAATATTACCCCCTGTTTGACAAACATGGATGAGGTGTTTTTATTAGATTGTAAAATTGTACTTTTACGACCGAACGATGATAGATGACAATACACTGAATCTTGTGTACGTATGTGTCTTGTGTGCAGTATAAACTGAAGACGAATAATACAATAATGTTATCGCATTGATTTCTAAAAATAGTATTATACTATTTACAAATGCAAAAGTTTCTTTTGCCTAACTCCCCACGATTTGATAAACGTTTGCAATTTTATGTATATTATGCATTCAAAAATATATATGACCTCGTTAAATCCATGTATTATTGTCACATGTATTGTTGGAATAGAATTACATATATATGGAAAAGCCATATGCATTTTGAAGTAGACTATAAATCACATGCATTATGCATCCCCGTAGCCACCCAAATTGTGTTTGAATTCCACAGTTGATCGCTCGCGTCTTACATACACGAGTTGGGAATCGAAGACAACCTCAACAACGCTGGTTTAACTTTCACGTCTACAGGCCAACAAGTAGCTGCCGTCATTACGCGCACGCAGGATATCAACGTATATTGTATGGCGTTTGCCCGAGATCTCGCGATATCGGTAATTGCAAGCTACAGTCGTGATTAGTCGATTTGTCAACCACAAGCACATACCAGAATTGGCGATTGAACAGAACTTAATCTACATCACAGTTAACTGGAATTGTGGCGCATGCGCACTGCCCCTACTGTTTGTGACAGGCCGACCGAACATGTGGCTGTGGTTGACTGGTCGTGTTGTTGATAACAAACTAGAGAAGACATAACAAAACATGTCAGGACAATGTTGAAATGTCGGAGCAGGGTGGAAATTTATTCACTCAGGAAAATATCGAGGAGATTGTTGATGTTTTAAAGGTGGGTATTTCATTTTTGTACTTATATGTGGATGTCATCAGTTAACATCATGAATCATTGATCAGCACTGTACAAGGTTGTTTCAGTGTGTCAGAGGTTCCAGTTTCTATACATGTATCGTGTGTACCATCCTCGGTATAGTCCTTTACTCGTAACGGTGGGAAAGCCACATTAACTTGGTGCGCCTAGAGGCTGCAAGAGGTGTATGATCCCCAGGGAGTTGAGATTGAAATGGCGATGCTCCGCTGAGATTGACATCCAACGATCGAAGGAAAACAAATCCCCTGTGAGCAGCTGAGCTGGATATTGGCGCTGTACAAATATTAGTGTGTGTGTTAGTGTGTGTGTGTGTGTGTGTGTGTCTGTGTTAGAGAGTGTGTGTGTGTGTGTGTGTGTGTGTGTGTGTGTGTGTGTGTGTGTGTGTGTGTGTGTGTGTGTGTGTGTGTGTGTGTGTGTGTGTGTGTGTGTGGCTAGTGAGTGACGTCGCTACAACAGAACTCCAGTCTTATCAAGGCGGGAACACCAAGAACTGGTTTGAGTCACCCATGGCTAGGATCGAACCAGGACCTTTAGCGTGAGGAGCGAACGTTTATCCGTCGCTTTCATGAACCGTGTGTAAATACACATTGCAGTTTATTTAAACAGATACAAATTGTACATGGATTGTTACCATCCAATCCTCTTCAGTCAGACTACAAGCATGGAGTTCTGTTTATCAGTCCTGACTCGGAAGCTTTACATGGTACATTCATTGAAAATTTACGCCTTATTATGAGTGTTACAAACAACCTTAAAATGTCAAAAGAAAATCGCATTTAGGACCTCAAAGTACTTACCTCCGATATAACGTAGGAATTTGTATGTCTGTATAATGTTTTTATTAGGTACCCAAAGTGAAGTTGGATTACTTCTTACCCACAGAAAGTCTCTTCCTTAATCAACAATTAGTCGTGAATGAAGATACAATTAATGAATCAAATACAGAAGAACAAATAACAGAGCACGTATGTTCAAAAACTATTCAGAAAAGTTTAGATAAAATACATAACGTTAAACCCAATATTACAAAGTGTAACCTAGTTATTTGTCTAACTTGCACCAGGTGCAAGTAAATTTTTGCGAAATATATTAACAATAAATCTAACATTACAGGCATAATTATGTCAGCTCATTTTTCTTCTAAACTTTGAATAATTCAATGGCATATTTCCTTTATTACATATTGCAATCAAAGCAGTGCAATTAGAATTTGGCTGGTGCAGCTAGCTATGTTTTTATCTTAGGTTGCACCTGGTGCAAGTAGGTTAACAACACCTAAATCGAGCCCTGCTTGTGCACACCTGTGCAAACCGATACATATCAGTCAAGTAGAAAACAGTCAAGTGACAGTCAACAGGACGTGTAATAAATGGCGTTAAAAAACGATTTGCTGCGTTTCCAGTAATAACTGTGGAGGTAGGGTACAGCCCTGTCGCACTCCAGTTGTAAGCCTTTCCTTTGTAACGGGCATAATTTACAGCCGGCGTGTTGTTTCCTAAATCAGTCTTCAACGGGATCTATACGACCTGTACACACAATGCAGACATCAAGCAGAGCGTTCTACTAAATCACCCCCGGCCAGTCTGAGGTAGTGACTATTGTTATATATCGTGAAGCCATCACGTTAAGGTTTCCGGTAATTTTATTGTTCGCGGACAAAACGCTGCCTGTTGTGTCTCAATTTGAAGTTCAAGGCTTCCCTTTGTCACGTCCCAGCGTGTGAATGATTGGTATTACGAAGCAATGGCATGTGATTTAGCACTAATATGTGCCGCATCAACGCAGTAATAGACAACGTAGTAATGCACGGACCGTCTTCGTGCTGTAGTGGAAAAAAAGTCTGCAAGGAGAACAGAATGTCGGTGGTTTGCGTCAGTATCAAAGACCTTAAAGGATGATACTTGTTGTTTCCCTGTCTGGTTCTCGGCATTATAGGATAATGAAAGGACCGGTCCGCACGTTGTCTGATTAGGGTGCTCATGATAAACTGAGGCATGGTATAACAGTTGACTAGGTCTTTAAAACTACTAGTCCTAACTGGTACCACCTGTACCTGTGGGACTTTAGCCACGTGCATGCGGCTAAACTCCATTTCATCTCAGCTGATTCATCCTCGTGACATACAGACATGTCAAATAGATGCGGCGATGTTTTATACCTGAATATGAACCTGTTGGTGAGACAGTTTGTGTTGTGCACGTGCACATGTATGTGTCATGACATAGTCTATTTAACTATCTGTTAAATGCATACATATTTACACGTCCACCAAGAAGCTTCCGTTTGCCTGTCGTCTTCAGTGTTTCTGGCCTTCATTATTTGTGTCTTGGGTCAGTGCAATCTGTACTCAAAATTCTCGAAAAACAATTTGTCCTCAGGAACACCCAAAATGTAAAATCGTCTGATCATCCGACACCAGAGAGATGTCACATGACATCCGCCCGTACTAACACCCTTAAAAACTAGACTACGACCTTACATTGAGTGCACGCCCATACTCCTCCACGCCGTCATGAAAAACCGTCACGAAACCAATTAACGTATTGTCTGTTTAAACAATGTTACTCTCTAACATATTTCCGATGAAAGAAAATATTGATAATAACAATTTACCTTGCACCTAAGAACTTCTGAATTACGCTTCAAAAACCGTTTATTGTCTAATTACGAATCCTCAGCCAGGGTCAGCTACAAGTGCAGAGAGTCCCGGTCATGTCATACCGATGATAAATACATTTCTAGGGCTGCTATTACTACGGGTAGACATGTCGAACATGGCCAATCAACAATGCAAATATTGATTTGTTGTTGGTGACCCGAACCCCTCCTGAAGCCCTGAGTAGAAAGGAAAGCCTGTGACATGTTTCTAACACTGTTACACTTTATCAAATTCATTGTACTAACACTATGTTTGCTCAGCACAAACACTGGCTTGAGTATTGACAAACAACTCTCTGATAATGCAGTCAGGTCGTGGTATAGCAGTGCACACAGCTTTCGCTTTACGATTACGAGGTTTTAGTTGGAACTTTCTCCCAATCGCAACCCCCCTGAAAGAGTTATATTTTCTAGTTGACATTGCATAAAGGCAAAACACGATTAGCTGATAAAAAAACTTTCGTCACAATATATTTGAAAAACATGTCAAGTATCGAGACCACCACCACCCTACCCTACCCCTCCCAAGAAATATATAACCCAACCATCCCATCCCAACAAGAAAAACAAACATCAAGAACAAAGCAAAAACAAATTAAAAATCAATTTTTTAATTATTTTTTTTAAAACCACACTTTAAATGGTGGTCTGGTATGGACATCTGGTATGGACATATGTTAGATGAGGTTTCACATTTCAGATCATGATCAGCTTATCAGAACGAAAACATAAATTACCGATTGTATTATATGTTTCCAAGAAACAAGTATGAACACAGGACTATAACTGCTGCTAAAGTGATGAGTCATCAAGCCTGGGTGTGTAAATACACAGTGAGTGAGTATGGTTTTACGCCGCTATCAGCAATGTTCCAGCAACATGACGGCGGGAGACACAATATTGTAATTGTAAACATTTGAGATCGAAGCTTCGGTTGTGGCGACCTCATAGTCAGATTTTGGGTGATCTCTCCAATTCTTATGATTTAAGACTGAATAGGACTTTGTCAAATGTTCGGTAGTAACGGAACAGAAACACATGAGTGGGTGAGGGAGTGAGTTTAGTTTTACGACGCACTCAGCAATATTCCAGCTATATGGCTGCGGTCTGTAAATAATCGAGTCTGGACCAGACCATCCAGTGATCAACAGCATGAGCATCGATCTACGCAATTAGGATACGATCACATGTGTCAACCCAGTCAGCGAGCCTGACCACCTTATCCCGTTAGTCGCCTCTTACGACAAGGATGGGTACTGAAGATCAATATTCTAACCCGGACTTTCACGGGTCAGAAACACATGAACTGTGCATCATCAACGATGTGGAAATATGTATTTTATACAGTTTTTTAGAAGTGTCGAACACAGGTTGCACATTTTATTACATCCCTTCTGGTTTTTTCAGTCACTGGTCATCTTAAAACTATAATTGTATTCCACGTTGTATTAACGTTAAAGTAACGCAACCGGTAATCCGTCAATCCGTCAAGTCCGTCTATTGATCTCAGTTATATATATTTAGCATGGACATAAATAATTAGGTACACAACATTCACTAGTAACTCACATTCCTAAATGAAATATGAGTATACATGTACATATATGCTGTTTAAAATACATGGAACAAGATGTCGATGAATCCTTTTATTAATTTCAAACTTTGTTTCTAACTTTATTGTTTAACCACCGATTAACACCAAAACACGCACTAACACGGAACGTCACCCCACAAAGATGTTGCACATTTTAAAAATATTTATTCAACGAATTTGTAAAACGCAGTGTCCCTTTTCCGAAGGACGGCCTGATAGCTGTGATATTTGTCATTGATGACCACATTTAGGCTTTAAATAGGGTGTAACAGTTTGAGAGATTGAATTGTCATTCAGAACTTAAACCTAATGAAAACATCGGTAAGAAGGCGTGTTATAATGCACCTGATATATACAGATTCGTTTTATTTCGAATAGGGGAGTTACATGTATCTAAAAATACAGGAAGAAAGAGCTGGAGAACCCTGATAATGTCCAGTGAAATATGAATTTATTTGTCCACTATATCACGACCTTTTTCACAAATACTTTCAACCTTTACTAGTCTCTCAGGGTTCAACATTTCCCTTCTGCCCAGCCCTTTCTCTAAGGCGAAAGTCCAAAGTGAAGTCAATATTCCTCTGAATGTCCCATCTCCTTTTCAATAAAAAGGGAGTTTATTGTTCCCAGCAACAATGAGTATATTCCGACACTAGGTGTAAGTCAAGTATCTTATCTGTTTACACCAAAAATAATATTAAAGCAAAATATTGCATTATAAGAGTACGTTTACTCTACTGATATGACTTAGAGATTTATTAGCATCATGATGCTGACCTAAGATAAGCACATATTTACCACTGCATGATCTAATGCTGACTTATATCAAGCAATATTCTGCATTTATTTAGTACAGATAGCTGATGATAAGATAGTTATCATAATATAATATGGGAAATTTGAATTGGGCTACTCTCTGATACTTGCAAAACAATGGGAATAATTTACACACAAAACAAAAGAAAAAAGCCAAACGAGTTAAGCCAAAGTCACACTTCTCCCCAATTGAGGACATATTTTCCTTACATGTTTTTCACTCGAGGACAACGTCAGGAAATAATATCAACTAAGATGTCTTCCATGTTTGTTGAATTGTGTTTCAGGTTGACCTTGGCGATGACAATGGCAACGTGTTCCAGGCCAAGGTTGCGGCGATGCAGAGGTTCCTCCGATACGGGATGTCCAAGTTCTCTAAGGAGAAGCTGTACCAGCACCTGTCCATTGTGGCCAGGCGGGTGTCCGTCCAGGAGCGGATGACCTCATGGAATACTCAGCACAATATCGTCATCAAGAGCGTCGGTCATCTCCGTACAGTTATCCAGAACATGCATGGAAAGGACAAGTATAATGGGCTGCTGGAATGTGAGAGGCAGGCCATAAGGTACTTCTTGCACTTTTTCGTTGATTTGGACCATATAAAGTGTTTAAAGGGAGCTTCGACAGAGAAGTGCACACAGTGTTGTATTATGACTACTTCGATCCGTCAGACTGGAATCCGCCCCAGAAGGGAAGTGCGGGCACAAAAGGAGGTAAGCCTGAAGACAAGGACAGCGGGAACTATTCCATGTCGGAACTTGAACATGAAAAACATGGACAGGTGACATATTTGAAGCCCCCAAAGGGAGGTAATTCTCCCAGGGGAAGTGTCTCACCAAGAGGAGATAACTCCCCAAGGGGCAAATATGATGATTCATTTACCCAGGTTGGGTTTTCTTACTCTAAGCATTTGGATGGGAGTGAGAGAGAAATGCTTCGTGTGACTGTGAATGAACTTGAAGAGGTTAGCGAGAGGTGGGACAGACTCTTGATGGAAGATGAGCAGGATCTCGAAGACTATGACCCAGAGAGTTATTACGAAGTGATGGAATGTGAGGAACATACTAGATTTGAAGCAGTGTTTCGCTTACTTTCTGACATTTTTGCCAAATGTTATAAAGTTATAGAACTGTCCAAACAATGGTGGAATCTAGCACATAAGATTTACAAAAGACTTCCTCTAAGGCGACCTGTGTCTCGTGGATGGCCAAGGTGCCGGGAGAGGACTCACAGATCTAGAAGTGACGAGGAAATGAACACAGAGATGGATCCACAAGAACCCGAAGTGGATGAATCAGAGCAGGCAGATCCAATAGGTGCAGTTGAAGAGAAACATGACGACCACGACCATCTTATCCATGTCCCTGAACCTCAGAAACAGCAGAAAAATGAGCGGGTCAAGAACATCAAGGCTCGCCTGTTTGATCTCTCGTATGCTATTCAGGAACTTGACGAGGATCTGACTGAACATAAAACTGACTTGAGGAAACTGGACTCAAGGGAAAGAAGGTTCCAGATGCTGGAAATCTTATTTGGAAAAGTGGATGCCAACCTGGAAGAGATTATGGACAAATGTCGAAAGCTCCGCGCTCAGAGAAAAGTGACTGCTCAGAAATACTCCTACACTTTCAGAGGCACCGAGAAATACTTTGACTACAGGGAGAAGCTCAGGAGGCTGGATAAGAAGCTAATGAAATATGATAACGAGATACAGCTTTTAGTGTACAAGCAAAACGTCGTCTCACAGGATTACATGTTGGAGATGGAAATTCGACCAAACTTTATCAGATCGTATGATGATCTGAGGACACAGATTACTGATAAAGAACATTTGCTTCAGCAACGCAGGAGCGACAAGAAGGACCTTGAGGAGGAACTAGACCTCCTGGAACCAGATGGTTTGGCGGGAAGAAGTCGAAAAAGTGAAAATGGCAGTTCTTCTGGACATTCCGTACTCACTGATCCCAAAGGGGAGATAACTGATGACTTCCTGATACAACACGCTAAAGACTACAATGAGGTGTTTAATGGTTTGGGCAAGCGATATGAACTGGTGAGTTCAGCTCCCCCTGTTAAGACTCAGCTCAGGAATATGAAAAGGAAAGAGGTGGTAACTCCATCAGTCACTAAACCGGTGCCACCAAGTAGTGATAATCTACTTAAGAGTGTTACGACGATTGATGGTTCAAATCTCATTAAACCCGAAAAGCCAAAATTCCAATCACCTCGACCACCCCCTGGTCTCAAAAAGAGGGCACGGAAGCCGTTTCCAGGGAGACGTGGAGTTAAACAACCTGTGTGATTTAAGGGATCATTCAAAGACATGACGTTATATGGAACAACGTGACTCAAGACAGTCATGTGAACTATATCATTACCAGGCTGGGGCAACATTGGGGCTGGGGCTCAGAGAACCCAGAAAGTGCAGGAACAAATATCTATGCTTCAAACACGTGAGCAAAACCGATAATGGTTGCCACAACACATACATTGTTGTGAGATGATTTTTTAAATAAAACATATGCAGTTTCGCTCCTGGTTTGAACGAAAATGTATATCCGGTTTTGCATCCCAACCACACTCCTTCCCCAACAGGGCTCGTAAGTAAGTCGCTGCACTTCTTAGTACTTCCGGTGACAAACAACGTTTCTAATGTTCTCATGGTTGTCAGTTGACAGTAAGGAACCGATAATCCTTGCAGGAACAACAAACTTCCGATCTAACCATCCCCAAATTAGCCAACTATTACGACTGTCAACAGCTGTGGCAGCAAAGCATAGTTGTACACTTGGTTCGGTCTAGTAAAGACATATTTTGCGGTCGCGCAATTTGGAACTAGAACTGGTTCTTGAATAAACGTTTGTCACCGGAATTCTGGTATCGCAAGTTGGCGGGCGCAAAATAAAAGGAGCCGGTACCAGCTTAGTACCGGAAGTAACGCCTCGCGAGACTTACAGGCCCTATATCAGAAGGCCGGCTCCTAACTGCCATGCGATTGTGTGATTGTGTTCTTGTATGATAATCATTACCACATCGTCAATTACAGTTGAACAGTAACGGGTCTTCCAGCCCTGTCATTTCTCGGTTGCTTGATCATGGTAAGTCTGTTATAAAGACATGAAATAACGCACGTTCTTTATCGACGCCATCAACAATTATCCAGTGTATCATATCTATATTCTTTCAGGATACATGCTGAGGACCTTCGTTAGAGGCCAGCTGAATGACACAACGCTCACAATAGACATCCACTCAAATTACTTCGCTCTTTCATGGTTTCAGTAAACATCGAGATCACAAGTACCCGTCTCGTAAACACAACAGGAGTGTTACATACGGACTTACCTCCCCTGTCCTAGTATCCAGGAAATCATATCATATTAGTCATGTGATTCTTTTTAGTCATTTGTAGGCTCGAAGGAGGGCTCGATGACCGACAAATTTGTATGTAGATCTCTGGCAAACTCGCGCTTAAAGAGACGTTCTAATTGGCTGTTTGCCCAATACGCTGTTTATTGTATTATGCCAGTCTTAAAATAAGGGATGTTTGAGACCTATTTCTGTGAAGTCTTTTGAAACTGAAACTGAATATTTTCTTTCACAATGTTTAAGTAACTCACCAATTCATCAAACAGTGCTAACTGACTTAAAGTCATGCTTGTCTTCACCAACAGAGAAATGCATTAGGGAATGATAGCAATGATAGCAAAAAATGTATTCAGATCGCAGACAATTCATCGATGTACGGAGTTCGAAAGTAGTTCCTGCTGGAAGATACAAGTTCATCGGAGTGATGTGTAGCGCTGATACCACTAGATGGTGAAACGTTCAACTGTACGTCTTCAGCTGTCCGTTAAGACTCCAACACCCATAGCGGCCACGGGTGACGCCGCAGTCTGCTGTGTGGAGTTGCGTCCCCTTTGAACGTCAGCAACCCTCGTTTGTGGGCTCGAACCCCGGCTCGCTCGGATTCCGTTTTAGGTTAGTAAGCGCCGTGCCGCTACTCATGGGTTTCAACAAAACTGTAAACATCTGCAACCTGAATCAGTTCAAGCTTAGCCCCTACAACATCATTACTCAACGCGGTATAATGCTTCAACCCTGGATAGTTGATGACGACTGCACCACTTATGTTGGTATATATTAAACGGACACAAAATATATCTCTATTTCCGACATGGTAGGGAATGAATATAGAACCTAAATATTTGTAGCATGAGATCACCTCCTGAGGCGCTTCAATGTTTTGTCAATTCTTAAGGTCTTCTTTTTCATTCCGCCTTTTGTGAATGCTGTTACTTTCGTCTCAAACAGAATAATAGACAAACCTCATCAGCAGGAAAATTCTCTTGGGAAATCTATCTGCCATAATAATCCAAAGAAATACCAGCAACTAAACTTACCCAATAGTCAAAATGTTTGTGTAAATATAGTGACATTTAAAGTGTTGTTTAATTGTGCTCTGTAACTAAATGGTTTGTTACGTACAACTTCGTAAATCATTGTTTCGAGAAGTATTGCAGGTGTCGGTGCTCCTTCCAAAACACGTGTGCTTCTTGATCATGCCACGTTCTATGAAGGCTGGCCACAACTATGGCTTGGACGTTAACTCTGCGTTGCTATGACAACAGACAATATATCAGCTTGCTACAGTAACAACATAGACTATTTGACTTGTTTGCAAATTTTATTAATAGCAGTAGCAAAAGCATAAAAATAACATATTTGTAAAACAGGATTTCATATTATTATGCTGCTGAAAACGGCATTGTCTCACCCAATGTAAAGATCTGATTGGTGTGTGAATACTGTCATTTGAGAGAATAAGGCTGTGCGAGATAATACATCAGCTCAATCAAACGTCCTCTTTCGATAAAATTTCGGACATCAGTTTTAACTCGTTTGCAAAAGCAGACTAAATATATATGTGTATATGATATATTCCTTGTAGTAGTATCAGTTGGGTGTTTTTGGTTTTTTATGAGTCCCGCGTCAGGTTCGGTTCCATACACCTTAGGCTGGTTGACCTAGACAATGCCTAACACGGAGCTCCTAAAAACACTGACAGCATCCGTGATAGGGCTAACATAAATTTCTCTACATCATACTATCGCCCGAAAATGGAATACACTTGTCCGATTTGAAGTATGCGGCTAGCTTCGGCCTCGCTTCCATTCTATCTTTGAAGGCCTTCACCAAAGGGGCATAATCCACTGCGGCCCAGGCTTCAGGGAACTGTGCAGCAGTCGCCCTCAGCGCGTGAAGAAGGCCAAGGTCAGCATAAGTCACCTTGCCCCCTACAACATACCTGAAACAAACCAAAACAATTGGGGTCTAAAATATATTTCATTTATTGGTATAACACAGAATTAAACATGCGAATGCGGCATGTAAATACAGGAGTCTTCACCAAACATTGATTGATACGGTGAGTATCGATACAGAGAATGACGGCAATAGGCCTGACAATCCGGTCTGTTTCTAACGGTGCCATCGTCATTATTCTAACTACAATAGGGCAGTCCCGAAATATCCAAGCCTGGACAAAACCACTCCAGGGACTGACGTTGCATGTGGGAAGATGACATTCTTCAGCCAAGTAACCAAGTCTGAATACCTGATTCATTAAATCTCCTGGCCAAGTATTCTATGTGTAATGAACAAAGTTTTCCACAAGTAACAATTCTAAAGAAACTAGGTCTTCCGTTTGAGCTAGTTATGGCTAACCCGTCATATCTTTGTCTCTCAAGCAGAATACATGCAGCCATTCACGTTTATATAAAGCAACGATTCACGCTGTCCTGATACGATGACACATCAACCAAATCACTATGAGTGACCGCCCAATTCCTTAGATCGCGTTTCAACCCCAGCACAGGTTACTTGGAGCTAAGCCGGAATATCAAACTGGTGTACATACATAAAAAACGAAATGCAGGGTATATTGATGACGGTCAAGTACATTTCGAAATTCAACAAACGCAAGAAGATTTTAGAATATGTGAAGGTAGGCCTATTTACTGCGCATCCGAACGGTTCACGAGTGGGGATGCCATGTTGCAGACAACACACTAGTAGATTGACTGACTGACTGAGTTTGACTAGCAACATCACGGCGGGGACCACCAGAAATGGGCTTCACACATTGTACCCATGTGGGGATTCGTGACGAGCCAACGCTTTAACCACTAGGCTACCCCACCGCCCCACACACTAGAAGACGTCCATTATGATGACAGAGAATATGACAAGGGTCAAGGTCAGTGGGATGTCCAACACAAACATGAATTACTGCCTGTGACCCATGGACGAAATAAAAGTACTGATGACACGTTGGAGAATGTTAGCCCGCTCGGCATGTATGCATGTTTCGGTAGCTCAAGGAAATGTGTGGGGCAATCTAACTTTTCCAGCGGTTATACATTCTCTAACTTTAATGACGGGTACCTGACCCCGCATATGGCTCTGTGCTGCCGACTATGGTAATACTAGCTCATCTTCTGTTATCTTAACTTACATTGACTACACTGTGATTATTTCGATACGTACTTGACTTAAGGAAGAAATAAGGCTTGTGTACACTCGTTGTTGAAATCAGTCTCTACACACAGTACCAACATAACACATGTGAAATCTTACCCCTTTCCGCCGTCATTAGCTGCTAGAATCTTCTCAAAGTGTTTCATAAACTTGGGGAGTCTCTCTGCCTGGAATCGGTCTATATATGGCTGTGTTCCCTTCTCTTGTCCGAAGTAGGAGGCGAAGGGACTGATGCCGTGGAACGCATAGCGACCTGCAAACAGTCACAGTCGTATAGTAGCAGTAGGAGTTGGTCGGTTGGTTGGTTGGTTGGTTGTTAAACGCCGCACTCAGCAATACGAGATTGGAATTCGGGATTTGAACCCACACTCTCACAGTGAGGCATCTAACCACCTGCTAACAGTCAGCGATCTAACCCACTCAGCCACAGCGTCTTTCACAAACCAGTCTGACAAATTGGTAGTCCAGATCAAACACAATAGTGACTACTGCTGCTGTTGCTGCTACTAGACTTGCTTCATTTAAGGCTTTAGCACTGCAGAAAGGCTAGGCAGAAGGGAAAATAATGCGGTGTCTGTGAGGCAGACTGACCCATACGACTGCACTCAACCAGGTGAAAAGAGTATTGGTCGTGTTCACCCTCGTGCTAACAATTGAGAATTTTCGTAGTGTGTTGGTGTTTTTGGTCACAGAAGCGAAACGTTCCTCCGAAAATAGTTGGTACGTTTCTGAAAGGCGTTCCCGCGCAGTGGTTTTCGCATTACAGAAAGTCAGTGTTATATAAAAGTTCGGCCAGTATGTTCAGAATGGCCTTTCCATAAACTACGTTTATACTGAACATCATTGAAAACGCACCAGTCTAAAATTGTCCATATTTTCATCAAGATGGATTTCAGCATGACAATGATCAATGAATATAACTAACATGAAGTCGAAGGGCATGTCCAGTTGAAAAAATGCTTTAGAAACAAATTCCTGTCCACAGTAGGACCCTTAATTCCAAAATGCATCAACATGCAGCCACGCCATGAAAAAAGCACGAATTTCATTCTGAAATCATACTGACTGTGACATTAAAAGCAGGTGTATGAGAACCGATTCTCATTGCTTCACTAACGATTGTGAAACGAGGAAAGAGATGCCGAGGTTAACACCTCACGAAAGAGAACGTGCACTAGGCATGATTCAGGTTGGCACCAGCGGCAGGGATATTACTCGACAACTTGGACTTGGCCACTCCACCATCGTTAGGCTTCATAGACGACATCAGTACACAGGCAGCACCCGTGACCTTCAATGACCTTGGCAACAACGTGTTACGACGCTCCATCAGGATCGCCATATTGACCATGTCCATATCAGTGATTGAACACTGCCGACTACAAGGACTGTTGCACTAGTTCAAGGTTGACGTGGGGGTCATCAGCGCTGACTCCATGCGACGTCGTCTACATGCTACAGGGCGCCATGCTTGACGTCCTTACGTTGGTCCAATTCTGACTGACAGACACCGTAATGAGCGTATACAATGGGCTTGCAGGCTTTTCAGTAAAGGTTACATCAATGGCATGGTGTGGTAGTCACTGACGAGTCACGTCTTCATCTACGTAATGCTGACGGCCGATTACGTGTTTGGGGTAGACGTGGTGAACGTTATGCTGATGAGTGTGTGGTTCAGACAGACCTTTGGGTGGTGGGAGTGTCATGGTCTGGGGTGGAATAAATTACAATCACAGGACTGCCTTCATGCCTGTCAAGGGAGAGTTAATGCCCTTTATTACCGTGAGCAGATTCTTTAGAATCACATCGTATCTGTCTTCAATCACCACCAAGATGTCCATACTTTTCAACAGGACAACGCACGAGCACACACAACAAGACATTCCATGCAGTATCTGGCCCAGCAACACTTCCAGGTTATTCATTGGCCAGCACAGTCGCCAGATGTATCCCCCATGGAGCACTTGTGGGACGAAATTGGTCAAAGTCTTTCGCGGCGACAACAGATGCGAAACATCCGGGAACTTGAGGCTGCACTACTGTAGAAGTGGAATGCCATCCTCAAGAACTCTATTCGGACGCTTATTGACTCAATGAAGAGACGTTGAACTGCATGTGTCAATGCGATATTGACTTTTCAATTTGACCCCACGTGTGCTTGATCCTTTCTGACTGTGGAACATTTCAATGAATGGGCATCTTTTCTGTGTTGTTGTTTTTGTCAGTCGTCCATCTGTTATTATCCACTCAAAAAATAACAATTCCTTACACGTGCTTTTAATAATCTGAACTTTTAGAAGTGGTGCGTTTTCAATGATGTTCAGTATATTTCAGGGGCGGTGGGGTAGCCTACTATCTAAGCCTAGTGGTTTCGCTCTAACCTCCGAGTTCTCCAAGTTGTTTGTAGTGTGAATATGACGTATGTCTGGTGATATAACTGCAGTAGCTTTCTAGAGATGAGTGTATTGCGGGGTTTTGGGGGTTTTTTTGCCGGGAGCTTTTTCCTATTGTACTTTGTGGTTGGTGACACTCCAGCAATAAAACTATTTCTACTGTATCTCGTGTGTCCTTATTCCTTGAGGGTCGGCGGCGTAGCTTAGTGGTTAAAACGTTCGCTCGTCACGCCAAAGACCCGGGTTCGATCCCCCACAATGGTACAATGTGTGAAGCCCATTTATGGTTTCCCCCGCCGTGAGATTGCTGGAATATTGCTAAAAGCGGTGTAAAGCCAAACTCACTCACTATAAGCCTCTCAAACAGACAACTTATTCTTGTTCCTTATAACCATACTTGGTTGTGTGCATTTCGACTATAACATACAGCAAGTGTCGGGGCAAAAAGAACCGTTCGTAATATCCGTCAGTTCGTCATAACCGTAGTCTACTCTATCCCCATCGATTCCTACGTATACCATACTGGCCATTATTGACATTCGTCATTCATCGCATCTGACTACAAGACAGGGATCGGGTTCGGGATAGCACTAAATTGGGGGAACTCAGAAACGTTATAAATATTCAAAGATGAAATACCCTCGGCGATGTAGTCGTGTACGGTGGCGTTGATCTGTTCGGCATGCCACTGGTCTTCCTCACTGTCAGGGTACAGGCCGAACTGCTTCCCCAGGTAGCGGCATATTACAGGTGTCTGGGAAAGCTCGAAGCTGCCTGAAACATTAGATGAAATATACAGGTACACTCAAAGTACAGATATAGATATTAAGCATATTGGTGGGTGGTTTATGTAGGTACAAGGAATATACAGTTACAATTAATATCAAGGTATGGTATGCATACGCTTGGGTGGATTATGTAGGTACAGTGAAAGTACAGGTGGACATTCAGATTATCGGAAATACAGGTAAAGTGAATGCGCGGGAGTACTGGACATTGGTCGACCTTGAGATAGGGGTTACGTTGATATAGGGCTTCCTTTGAGACACAGATTACTTCCATTTAGGAATTTCTTTGAGAGGGAGTTACTTTGACGTAGGGTTTAGTTTGAGAGAGATGTTACTCAGATATAACGCTTACCGTAAGCGCAGGGTACGTTTTTTTTATAAATGTATTCGCCCTTGATCCAAATAGAGATTTATCATGGAACGGTCCCTAACTGTGACGTAACGCTCACTTACAATTAATTACGGTACACCAGTAGGCGCAAAAGGCGCCGGCTGTCCATTAGAGGAAATACGGTACTTTGAGATAAAGGTTACATCGATATTGGGGTTACTTTGAGACAGCAGAGTTTACAACAAAATACTACTTTGATAAAAAAGCAAAAACAAGTGCAGATACCTTTCTTTAATAACGGGACAGCAAGAGCTGGGTACCCTGTCCACTTTTGGTCCGCCTGCTTAAACATCTCCATTATGCCTTCAGATATATGCTTGAACGGGACACCAGCTTCGATGAAGAGGATGCGGGCAAACTCTGCCCGTCCCGCTCCCACATAGCTCCGAGGCCAGTAGTACAACTCGTAACCGTCGCTCGACATCTTCACCGGCTTTCTGTGCTTGTACCTGGATGTTAAATGGACACTGATCACATCCGAGGAGTGAGTGAGTTTAGTTTTAAGCCGCTTTAGCAATATTCCAGCAATTTCACGGTGGGGGCACCAGAAATGGGCTTCACACATTGTATCCATGTGGGGAATTGAACCGGGGTATTCGGAGTGACGAGCGAACGCTTTAACGTGGGGATGGTGTGTGTGTGCGTGCGTGTGTGCGTGTGTTGGGGATGGTGGGGTGGGGGAGAGTGGTTTGGTAGTGGTAGGCTATTTTATTCATTTATTCATTAGATCTACCACTTCATATACTGAACCAAGTTAAGGATCATGGCATATTGAGCTCACCATCAACATGAAATTTCACTACAAAGAAAATACCTTCCCAAGAAATTCGCCTGTCTTAACATTTTTGTTCACCATATGTCTCGCAGTAGCTTTTAATTGAGAACACGTAGACACTATAACACTCTCTCACCTCGCAGTTGCCTCCAATTCAAACCCAAAACACCCATAGTGGTACATGAGATAGAATTTTATTAAATACCCCTTTATTATAACGATAGCAATACAACCGTGCATTTGTGGTGGGGTAACGTAGTGGGTAAAGTGTTTGGTTGTCACGCCAAAGACCCGGGTTCGATTCTCCACATGGGTACAATGAGGGAAACCCGTTTCTGGTATCCCCCGTCGTGGTATTGTTGGAACATTGCTGAAAGCGGCGTAAGACCATACTCGCACAGCCGTGCAATACGGCAAGCTGTGGTGAATTCCGTATTGCACTTTGATTTCCGTACTGTAGGTTTGCCGGATCTACTTTTCCAATGTTCGGCAGTACTCGGACCCATCCGTAAACATCTAAATTTAGGATTCCTTACTCCTTATGTCATGGGTGTTCCTTTTTTAACAAAATCCATAATTTTGAAGTTGCTTTGTGTCAAATATCATTCTGTTTTGTTTCTTTCGTAATCAGAACCTGGCACTTAATTGATGCGGAGGAATGCGATTTGGTTACACAGACCTCAAAGCCAACGGATAGGACGACACAATGTATTATTATGGTGAAATAGATAATGCTTGAAAAAACATATTTTTTCTGTTAGGATAAATTTAAATATGGATAAACCACGACAGACATCTCACTAAACGTATTAGCAAAAATGGAAAATACAAAATCAGAGAGAGCAACAACACTGATTTGAGTGCAGCCTTCGCTCTCATACTACAGTTTGTGTCAAGATTTGGAAATTTTACGTGCGCTTTCCGACATGATGTGTATTTCGCCTGCGGTGTAAAACACCCAGAGTCGTGCCCCTTTATTACTTCCGCGTAACCCGGTACCGGGTCGTACCCCGAAAATCTTCGCGATATGTACTGTTAATGCAGGTCTGTGCATACTGGGGCGTCCTTAATGACTTAAAAGACTTTTTACCTGAGTCTAATTCCTGTGATATACAGTGCATAAACATATACAATCCTGACCTACATATTCAAGTCAGCAAATTCCAATTACAAGCCTTACCTTACAGTCAGCACTGCCTGATGCTGTATTGAACAGTTAAATATATAATCATCCAACGAAGGCAAATCCTAGTGCTAGTGCTCAGGTTAAGATACTATAAATTACATACCTTCCCCTGGCTTTATCGGTGCTTCGAGAAATAGAATATGTCACGTGACAGGTCTGAATTTATCACGTGACACGTTTGAAATACGCTGTGTCATTGTGAGTGAGCATATTTATCACCCACGCGGTCAACGTATGAGTAGTTGCATACTAATCCCGTACGTGATTGACCTGTGTCGTAACAACATGACCTGAGATTCTAACGATACCTGTGTCGTAACGACATGACCTGAGATTCTAACGATTTGATTGGATAACCGATGATCTCTCAATTAGGTCACATTCTGATGTAACTATTTTTTCCACACTCCGGCACAGCGATGACTTAACATAACATCACTGCCACAGGTTAATTTGCATATCTCGTCACCGGACTTTTCTTTTTTTTTGTAATCAAATGCGCATATTCATAACAAGAAGAGACTGGACTCACGAAAGCTTTTCGGCGCTCTCTTCATAATGTTTTACATTGTTACATATATATTCTTCCACAACTGCGACAGTTAGGTCTATGACAGTGCATATTTAGATATCAAACTGGCTGCATCGTTTGCTCCCCGTCGGCTTCGACGACAGCACGTGGAGCCGTACAACCTATGTAAACAAAGGATCGCTACGCAAATCAAAATAGTGTTACATGTTTTAGGATATTTTCTCAATGAAACTAAACCATTCTATCAAAGATGTTTAATTAGATGTGTAGACTCGTCAAAAATAAAAGAGCTGAGAAATATGTAAATTATACTGAATGGACGGTGCAATATATGACAAATCGTCACATTTTTCTGGCCTGTGGCAGAGATACTATGCTGGCTTGCCGCATGGAACTCTGGGTAGGAGAGTGTATTTTTTTCATTCATAACAAGCACGTGAATTCATTCATTCTACAACTTAAATGCATTGTGGGAATGTAAACATTGCGAACGTTGCCGTGTCGCTGTTTAATTGTGAGTCGAACTGAGACATTATATCCGTCGAAAAACATAAACGCAATGTTTCCACCAGTGATGTTAGCCGAATGAAGCAACTGCAAACCAAGAAACGAGTTGCGACGGAGTAATTTACTGTAGGAGGCTGTACGAGGCGATGACAACTGACATGAATCGTGACGTCGGTTACCAAGGCAGTGACGTCATTACAGTGTGACGTCATGCAAATATTGTACTACAGTACAAAACTCTTCAGCAACCTCTTTAGGAAACCGGTTTCGGTTTGAAACCAAAAACACAACAAAAATACGCTATGTTGTCAATTTATTGCATGTAAGACATACGAATTATACTAAACTCGTGACCTATTCCAGCTGTATGGCGAAGGTCTGTAAATAATCGAGTCTGGACCAGACAATCCAGTGATCAACAGCATGAGCATCGTTCTACACAATTGGGATACGATAACATGTGTCAACCAAGTCATCGAGCCTGACCACCCGATCCCGTTAGTCGCCTCCTACCAAAACATCTGAAGCTGCACGCGATGTTACATGTCTTGGTAACAATTTTGAAATATATGTACTGTTTCGGGATATCATAACCCATGTTTGCCTCAAACCGTAACAGTAACGTATCTTCCTGAGGTTTCACACTGGGGCCGTATCTCGTCGCTCAGCTGAGATAGCACACGTTTTATGAAGGCTGGCCACATCTATGGCTTGGACGTTAACTCTGTGTTGCTATGACACCAGACAATATATCAACTAGCTACAGTAACAACATAGAGTATTTGACTTTTTTGCACAATTTATTAACAGCAGTAGCAAAAGCATAAAAATAACATATTTTGTAAAACAGGATTTCATATTATTATGCTGCTAAAAACGGCATTATCTCACCGATGCGAATGTAAAGATTTGATTGGTGTCTTAATATTGACATTTGATTGGTTCACGTGATCTTGAGAACAGATATAGCATCACGGAGAAAGAATAGGATGAGCACAGGCTGCACGTGGATTTCTGTGCGAGGGAATACATCAGCTCAATCAAACATCCCCTTTCTATAAAATTTCGGAAATCAGTTTCAATTCGTTTGCACAAACAGACTAAATATATATGTATATATGATATATTCCTTGTAGTAGTATCAGGTTCGGGACCATACCCCTTCGGTTGGTTTGACCTGGATAAAACCTAACACGGGACTCCTAAAAGCACTGACAGCATCCGTGATAGGGCCAACATAAATTTCTCTACATCATACTATTGCCCGAAAATGGAATACACTTGTCCGATTTGAAGTATGCGGCTAGATTCGGCCTCGCTTCCATTCTATCTTTGAAGGCCTTCACCAAAGGGGCATAATCCACTGCGGCCCAGGCTTCAGGGAATTGTGCAGCCGTCGCCCTCAGCACGTGGAGAAGGCCAAGGTCAGCAAAAGTCACCTTGCCCCCTACAACATACCTGAAACATACAAAATAAAATGGTGTCTAAAATATATTTCATTTATTGGTATTTGCTGTTTAAAAGAAGTAAACATGTGGCGGCGGCACAGGGAATACATCTGTCGTATACACACTCGCTGCTGACCGTGTGTCTCATCCAAGTACCAGCATTATTGATGTAAAATCTTACCCCTTTCCGCCGTCATTAGCTGCTAGAATCTTCTCAAAATGCTTCATATACTTGGGGAGTCTCTCTGCCAGGAATCGGTCTATATACGGTTGTGTTTCCTTCTCCTGTCCGAAGTAGGAGCCGACGGGATTGATGCCGTGAAAGGAAAGGCGACCTGCAAACAGTCACATTTCTATAGACGTTGTAGTGGCTGTAGTAGTAGTAGTAGTAGTAGTAGTAGTAGTAGTAGTAGTAGTAGTAGTAGTAGTTGTAGTAGTTGTGAGAGAGTTTAGTCTTACGCCGCATCCAGCTATATGGCGGTGGTCTGTAAATAATCGAGTCTGTCCCAGACAATCCAGTGATCAACAGCATGAGCATCGATCTACGCAATTGGGACCCGATCCCGTTAGTCGCCTCTTACGACAAGCATGAGTTGCTGGAGATCAATTCTAACCCGGATCTTCACGGGTTAGTAGTAGTAGTAGTAGTAGTAGTAGTAGTAGTTGTAGCAGCAGCAGCAGCAGCAGCAGTAGTAGTAGTAGTAATAGTAGTAGTAGTAGTAGTAATAGTAGTTACTATTACAGAAAGACCAGAATTAGAAAACTTGAAAAGGTCTGTAGATATGATGCCTTACAGAATGTGGTCAAACGTAACAAACGTTATCGTTGACTGTACATTTTTTCAGTAAAGTACAGATTCTAGAAAGTATAATCTCATGTCACATGTTACATTTGACCCCTATGTAGAAAGCATTGTGTATTCAGAACTTTCGGCAGCAGGAGCGTGTCAGTTTACACTTGTCAGGTATATTTGTATTTGGTCTGGACTACCAGTTTGTCATGTTTTCGAAAGCCGCAGTGGCTGAGTGGGTTAGATCGTTTTTTGTTTGTTTTTCCAATATTTTTATTCATTTCAGATAGGTATACAAAGACAGGGAGTACACAACTCCATGTTAGGGCTGGTTACATATTGGCAACAAAGAGTTACAAATTTTCAAAGTAAGAAAATATAGTTACTAGAATACAAAGTCGGGAAGTGCACGACTCCAGCAACAAACTTCATGGGTTACAGGCATGTTCTAGCTAGTTATACATCAGCAACAAAGTTACTAATTCCGAAGTATGAAAACAGGTACACAACGTCAGGGAGTGCACCACTGAGTGGGTTAGATCGTTGACTGTATGAGCTGGTGGTTAGATGCCTCAGTCTGAGAGTGTGGGTTCGAATCCAGGATAAGTCTCAACCAAACATGTAGTAGACTCTGTTTTTTTACTGAGAACGTGTAATCTAATATTTAACATTTTACAGCTAGGAACTAACCCATGTGAGATGGGACCCATGTAACCTATGCCGTATTTAGGATCACACTTTCTCAGTAAAGTACAGATTCTAGCAGTCATTGGCGGAGTTAGGTCTCATCAAGGAAAGCATTACAGCGCCTGACACATTCGATCTCGAGGAGAGTAAGATATCGCTGAGCAAAACTTTAGTAGTGTAGAATTCTCTGCATTGGAATCCTCTGGCATCCCTGTGTAAATTTCTGCAGAGTTTGAACAGGAGGATCTCAAGCTTGAACCTCGCGTCCTAGACAGTCCCAAACAGTGAGTGAGTGAGTTTAGTTTTAAGCCGCACTCAGCAATACTCCAGCTATATGGTGGCGGTCTGCAAATAATCGAGTCTGGACCAGACAATCCAGTGATCAACAGCATGAGCATCGTTCTACACAATTGGGATACGATAACATGTGTCAACCAAGTCAGCGAGCCTGACCACCCGATCCCGTTAGTCGCCTCTTACGATAAGCATGGGTTACTGAAGATCAATACTCTAACCCGGACCTTCACGGGTAAGTCTCAAAGATGTCCGACAGGGTTCATATCGCGGATCCTTGATGGCCATGGTACTCTTTCGATGGCGCTGTTATGCAAATGGGCGATGACGGCAAGAGGATGGTGGGGGTCTAGTGTAGGCAAGGGGGTGATAATCAAAATGTAGCACCACGACAGTGACCAGTATTTCTTGTTGATAACGTTGACGAGGGCGTGTCATATAGGCGCTAAAATGGGATTCATTGGAATCGCAACACAACACCATCACTTAGTCACGAAGAAAGGGTCCAGCTGTATGGATTACCTCCTGGTGATATGACTAGTTAAAACGCCCTCATACATGACAACAACCTCCGGTAACGTGTTGAAGATAGCGACTTTCTTCTGACCATTGAACCTTACGCCATGGCCTCAAGTTGCGGGGTTTTGGAGCCTGCACCACGGCAGACATCTCTACCTGTTCTTCTCTGTGATGAATGAACGACTTACCATCAGACCAGAGGCCCAATCTCCTTCTACTGCCGGTGCAGTCCTTCGGCATAGGTCATGGGATTGCGTCTTACCAGACGCATTCGGATTTGGTGATCACGGTTTTCGAGGTCTTGGCTTATCCTTTAACTTTCCGGTGTACACTTGTTTCTTCACGAGTCCACTAAAGTTCCGGTTGTGTACAGGTGTTGCGACAGCACACCTCTCTGCATGCCAGTTACTTGTGATCGTGTAATGTTTGTTGTTTTCAGTCACAGAAGCGAAGCGTTCATCCGAAAATATTTGATACGTTACTGAAAGGCGTCCCCGCGCAGTGCTTTTCGCATTCCAGACAGACAGTGTTATATACAAATTCGGCCCTTATGTTCAAAATGTTCGCTCGCCACGTCGAAGACCCAGGTTCGATTCCCCACATGGACACAATGTGTGAAGACCATTTCTGTAGCCCCCCGCCGTGATATTGCTGTAATATTGCTAAAAGCGGCGTGAAACCATACTCACTCACTCACGCTCAATCACACAACTTATTTTCGTTCGCTATAACCATAGTTATAACGCATTTCGGCTAAAACATACAGCAAGTGTCGGGGCAAAAAGAACCGTTCGTAATATCCGTCAGTTCGTCATAACCGTAGTCTGCTCTATCCCCATCGATTCCTACGTATACCATACTGGCCATTATTGACATTCGTCATTCATCGCACCTGACTACAAGACAGGGATCGGGTTCGGGATAGCACTAAATTGGGGAACTCAGAAACGTTATAAATATTCAAAGATGAAATACCCTCGGCGATGTAGTCGTGCACGGTGGCGTTGATCTGTTCGGCATGCCACTGGTCTTCCTCATTGTCAGGGTACAGGCCGAACTGCTTCCCCAGGTAGCGGCATATTACAGGTGTCTGGGAAAGCTCGAAGCTGCCTGAAACATTAGATGAAATATACAGGTACGCTCAATGTACAGGTAGAGTCATGGTGGATTGTGTAGGTACAAGGAATACAATCGAGACAGGGCTTACTTTGAGATCGGGGTTACATCGAGATAGGGGTTACAAGATAAGACTTCCATTGGGATGGGGGTAACATCGAAATAGGGATTGCTTTGAGAGAGGGGTTACATCGACATAGGGCTTTTATACTTTGAGAGCTCTCTTTGAAATAGGTTATATCGATAATGGGGTTACTTTGAGATAACATAATTTACAAGATACTATTTTAGTAGAAGCAAGTAAAGATACCTTTCTTTAACAACGGGACAGCAAGAGTTGGGTATCCTGTCCACTTTTGGTCTGCCTGCTTAAACATCTCCATTATGCCTTCAGATATATGCTTGAACGGGACACCAGCTTCGATGAAGAGGAGGCGGACAAACTCTGCCCGTCCCGGTCCCACAAAACTTCCTGGCCAGTAGTACAACTCGTAACCATCGCCCGACATCTTCACCGGCTTTCTGTGCTTGTACCTGGATGTTCACTAGACACTGATCACATCCGAGGAACGTGGGGATGGTGTGTGTGTGTGTGTGTGTGTGTGTGTGTGTGTGTGTGTGTGTGTGTGTGTGTGTGTGTGTGTGTGTGTGTGTGTGTGTGTGTGTGTGTGTGTGTGTGTGTGTGTGTGTGTGTGTGTCTTGGGGATGGCATGTGTGTCTTTGGGATAGAGTGTGTGTGTCTTGAGGATGGTGTGTGTGTGTCTAATGGATGGTGAGTGTGGATGTGTCCTAGGGATGGTGAGTGTGTGTGCCTTGAGGAAGGTGTGTGTATGTGTCTTAGGGAGTGTGTGTGTGTGTGTGTGTGTGTTTGAGGGATGGTGAGTGTGTGTGCCTAGAGGAAGGTGGGTGTGTGTGTGTGGGTCTTGAGGATGGTAAGAGTGTGTGCCTTCAGGATGGTGGGTGTCTTTGGGATGGAGTGTGTGTGTCTTAGGGATGGTGTGTCTTAGGTGTGTCTTGAGGATGGTGTGTGTCTTAGGTGTCTTCAGGATGTATGGTGTCTTAGGTGTGTCTTGAGGATGGTGTGTGTCTTAGGTGTCCTCAGAATGGTGTGTCTCATAGGTGTCTTGAGGATGGTGTGTGTCTTAGGTGTCTTCAGAATGGTGTGTCATAGGGATGGTGTGTGTCTTAAGTGTGTCTTGAGGATAATGTGTGTCTTAGGTGTCTTGAGGATGGTGTGTGTCTTAGATGTCTTCAGAATGGTGTGTGTCTGAGGGATGGCGTGTCTTTTAGGTGTGTCTTGAGGATGATGTATGTCTTAGGTGTCTTGAGGATGGTGTGTGTCTTAGGGATGGTTTCTATTTTAGGTGTGTCTTGAGGATGATGTGTGTCTTAAGTGTGTCTTGAGGATGATGTGTGTCTTAGGGATGGTGTGTGTCTTGAGGATTGTGTGTGTCTTAGGTGTCTTGAGGATGGTGTGTGTCTAGGTGTGTCTTAGGTGTGTCTTAGGTGTTTTAGGGATGGTGTGTGTCTTAGGTGTGTCTTAGGTATGGTGTGTGTCTTAGGTGTGTCTTGTGGATGGTGTGTCTTTTAGGGATGGTGTGTGTCTTAGGAGTGTCTTGAGGATGGTGTGTGTCTTAGGTGTGTCTTAGGGATGGTGTGTGTCTAGGTGTGTCTTGAGGATGGTGTGTGTCTTAGGTGTGTCTTGAGGATGGTGTGTGTTTTGAGGATGGTGTGTGTCTTAGGTGTCTTGAGGATGGTGTGTGTCCTGGGTGTCTTGAGGATGGTGTGTGTCTTAGGGATGGTGTGTGTCTTAAGTGTGTCTTGAGGATGATGTGTGTCTTAGGTGTCTTCAGAATGGTGTGTGTCATAGGTGTCATGAGGATGGTGTGTGTCTTAGGTGTCTTCAGAATGGTGTGTGTCTTAGGGATGGTGTGTGTCTTAGGTGTGTCTTGAGGATGGTGTGTGTCTTAGGTGTGTCTTGAGGATGGTGTGTGTCTTAGGGATGGTGTGCGTCTAGGTGTGTCATGAGGATCGTGTGGGTCTTGAGGAGGGTGTGTGTCTTAGGTGTGTCTTGAGGATGGTGTGTGTCTTAGGTGTGTCTTGAAGATGGTGTGTGTCTTGAGGATGGTGTGTGTTTTAGGTGTGTCTTGAGGATGGTGTGAGTCTTAGGGATGGTGTGTGTCTTAGGTGTGTCTTGAGGATGGTGTGTGTCCTAGGTGTGTCTTGAGGTTGGTGTGAGTCTTAGGGATGGTGTGTGTCTTAGGTGTGTCTTGAGGATGGTGTGTGTCTTAGGTGTGTCTTGAGGATGGTGTGTGACTTAGGGGTGGTGTGTGGATCTTGAGTGTGTGTCATGAGGATCGTGTGTGTCTTGAGGGTGGGTATGTCTTAGGTGTGTCTTGAGGTTGGTGTGTGTCTTGGGGATGGTGTGTGTCTTAGGTGTGTCTTGAGGATGGTGTGTGTCTTGAGGATGGTGTGTGTTTAGGTGTGTCTTGAGGATGGTGTGTGTCTTAGGTGTGTCTTGAGGATGGTGTGTGTCTAGGTGTGTCTTGAGGATGGTGTGTGTTTTAGGTGTGTCTTGAGGATGATGTGTGTCTTAGGTGTCTTGAGGATGGTGTGAGTCTTAGGGATGGTGTGTGTCTTAGGTGTGTCTTGAGGATGATGTGTGTCTTAGGTGTCTTGAGGATGGTGTGTGTCTTGAGGATGGTGTGTGTCTTAGATATGTCTTGAGGATGATGTGTGTCTTAGGGATGGTGTGTGTCTTGAGGATTCTGTGTGTCTTAGGTGTCCTGAGGATGGTGTGTGTCTAGGTGTGTCTTAGGTGTGTCTTAGGTGTTTTAGGGATGGTGTGTGTCTTAGGTGTGTCTTAGGTATGGTGTGTGTCTTAGGTGTGTCTTGAGGATGGTGTGTCTTTTAGGGATGGTGGGTGTCATAGGAGTGCCTTGAGGATGGTGTGTGTGTTAGGAATGGTGTGTGTCTTAGGTGTGTCTTAGGGATGGTGTGTGTCTAGGTGTGTCTTGAGGATGGTGTGTGTCTTAGGTGTGTCTTGAGGATGGTGTGTGTTTTGAGGATGGTGTGTGTCTTAGGTGTCTTGAGGATGGTGTGTGTCTTTGGTGTCTTGAGGATGGTGTGTGTCTTAGGTGTCTTCAGAATGGTGTGTGTCATAGGTGTCTTGAGGATGGTGTGTGTCTTAGGTGTCTTCAAAATGGTGTGTGTCTTAGGGATGGTGTGTGTCTTAGGTGTGTCTTGAGGATGGTGTGTGTCTTAGGTGTCATGAGGATGGTGTGTGTTTTAGGTGTGTCTTGAGGATGGTGTGAGTCTTAGGGATGGTGTGTGTCTTAGGTGTGTCTTGAGGATGGTGTGTGTCCTAGGTGTGTCTTGAGGATGGTGTGTGTCTTAGAGATGGTGTGTGTCTTGAGGTGGTGTGTGTCTTAGGTTAGGTGTCTTGAGGATGTGTGTGTGTCTTGAGGATGGTGTGTGTCTTAGGTGTGTCTTGAGGATGGTGTGTGTCTTAGGGATGGTGTGTGTCTTAGGTGTGTCTTGAGGATGGTGTGTGTGTCTTAGGGATGGTGTGTGTCTTAGGATGGTGTGTGTCTTAGGTGTGTCTTGAGGATGGTGTGTGTCTTAAGGTGTGTCTTGAGGATGGTGTGTGTCTTAGGTGTCTTGAGGATGGTGTGTGTCTTAGGGATGGTGTGTGTGTCTTAGGTGTGTCTTGAGGATGGTGTGTGTCTTGAGGATGTGTGTGTGTTCTTGGATGGTGTCTGTGAGGATGGTGTGTGTCTTGAGGATGGTGTGTGTCTTAGGTGTCTTGAGGATGGTGTGTGTCTTAGGTGTGTCTTGAGGGATGGTGTGTGTGTGTCTTAGGGATGGTGTGTGTGTTTTAGAGTGTGTCTTGAGGATGATGTGTGTCTTAGGGATAGTGTGTGTCTTGAGGTGTGGTGTGAGATGGGATGTGTGTGTCTTAGGTGTGTCTTGAGGATGGTGTGTGTCTTGAGGTGTCTTGAGGGATGGTGTGTGTCTTGAGGATGGTGTGTGTCTTAGATGTGTCTGATGATGTGTGTCTTAGGGATGGTGTGTGTCTTGAGTGTGTCTTGAGTCTTAGTGTCTTAGGTGTCCTTGAGGTGTGTCTTAATGGTGTGTGTCTAGGTGTGTCTTAGGATAGGTGTGTCTTAGGTGTTTTAGGGATGGTGTGTGTGTCTTAGGTGTGTCTTAGGTATGGTGTGTGTCTTAGGTGTGTCTTGAGGATGGTGTGTCTTTTAGGGATGGTGATGGTGTCTTAGAAGTGTCTTGAGGATGATGTGTGTGTCTTAGGAATGGTGTGTGTGTCTTAGAGTGTGTCTTAGGATGGTGTGTGTGTCTAGGTGTGTCTTGAGCATGGTGTGTGTCTTAGGTGTGTCTTGAGGATGGTGTGTGTCTTAAAGGGATGGTGTGTGTCTAGGTGTGTCTTGAGGATGGTGTGTGTCTTAGGTGTCTTGAGGATGGTGTGTGTCTTAGGTGTGTCTTGAGGATGGTGTGTGTCTTGAGGATGGTGTGTGTCTTAGGTGTGTCTTGAGGATGATGTGTGTTGTCTTGAGGATGGTGTGTGTCTTAGGTGTGTCTTAGGGATGTGTCTTGAGTGATGTCTGTGTCTTAAGTGTCTTGAGTTGATGGTGTGTGTCTTAGGTGTCTTCTTTAGGATGGTGTGTGTTTTAGAATGTGTCTTGAGGATGGTGTCTAAAGGGAGGTGTGTGTGTGTCTTGAGGGATGGTGTCTTGAGTGGTGTGTGTCTTAGGTGTGTCTTGAGGAATGGTGTGTGTCTTGTGTCTTGAGGGATGGTGTGTGTCTTAGGTGTGTGTCTGAGGGATGGTGTGTGTCTTGAGGATGTGTGTGTCTTAGGTGTGTCTTAGGGATGTGTGTCTTAGGTGTGTCTTGAGGATGGTGTGTGTCTTAGGTGTGTCTTGAGGATGGTGTGTGTCTTGAGGGATGGTGTGTGTCTTAGGTGTGTCTTGAGGATGGTGTGTCTTAGGGATGGTGTGTGTCTTAGGTGTGTCTCTTGAGGATGGTGTGTGTCTAGGTGTGTCTTGAGGATGGTGTGTGTCTTAGGTGTGTCTTGTTGATTAGGTGTGTCTGTGATTGTCTTGGAGATGTGTGTCTTAGGGATGGTGTGTGTCTTAGGTGTGTCTTGAGATGGTGTGTGTCTTGAGGATGGTGTGTGTCTTAGGTGTGTCTTGAGGATGGTGTGTGTCTAGGATGGTGTGTGTCTTGAGGATGGTGTGTCTTAGGTGAGGATGGTGTGTGTCTTGATGGTGTGTGTCTTGAGAGTGTCTTAGGTGGTGTGTGTCTTAGGATGGTGTGTGTGTCTTGAGGATGGTGTGTGTCTTAGAATGGTGTGTGTGTGTGTCTTGAGGGATGGTGTGTGTCTTAGGGATGGTGTGTGTGTCTTAGGTGTGTCTTGAGGATGGTGTGTGTCTAGGTGTGTCTTATGGATGTGTGTGTGTCTTAGGGATGTGTCTTGAGGATGTCTGTCTTATGTGTGTCTTGAGGATGGTGTGTGTCTTAGGTGTGTCTTGAGGATGGTGTGTGTGTCTTAGGATGTGTGTCTTGAGGATGGTGTGTGTCTTAGGTGTGTCTTGAGGATGGTGTGTGTCTTGAGGGATGGTGTGTGTGTCTTAGGTGTGTCTTGAGGGATGGTGTGTGTCTTAGGGATGGTGTGTGTCTTAGGTGTGTCTTGAGGATGGTGTGTGTCTTAGGGATGGTGTGTGTCTTAGGTGTGTGGCTAAGGATGGTGTGTGTCTTAGGGATGGTGTGTGTGCCTAGGTGTGTCTTGATGGTGTGTGTCTTGGATGGTGTGTGTCTTGAGGATGGTGTGTGTCTTAGAGGATGGTGTGTCTTGAGGATGTGTGTGTGTGTCTTAGGGATGGTGTGTGTCTTGGTGGTGGTGTGTGTGTGTGTCTTAGAAGTGTCTTGAGGATGGTGTGTGTCTTAGGAATTGTGTTAGGTGTCTTAGGTGTGTCTTGAGGGATGGTGTGTGTCTTAGGTGTGTCTTGAGGATGGTGTGTCTTAGGTGTGTCTTTTTATGGATGGTGTGTGTCTTAGAAGGTGTGTCTTGGGATGGTGTGTGTGTGTCTTGAGGATGGTGTGTGTCTTAGGTGTGTCTTAGGGATGGTGTGTGTCTTGAGGTGTGTCTTGAGGATGGTAAATGTGTCTTAGGTGTGTCTTGGGATGTGTGTTTTGTTTAGGATGGTGTGTGTCTTAGGTGTCTTGAGGGATGGTGTGTATATGATCTTGGGAAAAGTCTAAAAGGTGGTGTGTGTCTTAGGTGTGTGTCTTGAGGATTGTGTGTGGTGTGTGTCTTAGGGATGGTGTGTGTCTTTAGGTGTGTGTTGTCTAAGGATGGTGTGTGTCTTAGGGATGGTGTGTGTGTCTTAGGTGTGTCTTGAGGATGGTGTGTCTTGAGGTGTCTTGAGGATGGTGTGTGTTTTAGGTGTGTCTTGAGGATGGTGTGTGTCTTAGGTGTCTTGAGGATGGTGTGTGTCTTAGGGATGGTGTGTGTCTTAGGTGTGTCTTGAGGATGATGTGTGTCTTAGGTGTGTCTTGAGGATGGTGTGTGTCTTAGGTGTGTCTTGAGGATGGTGTGTGTCTTGAGGATGGTGTGTGTCTTAGATGTGTCTTGAGGATGATGTGTGTCTTAGGGATGGTGTGTGTCTTGAGGATTGTGTGTGTCTTAGGTGTCTTAAGGATGGTGTGTGTCTAGGTGTGTCTTAGGTGTGTCTTAGTTGTTTTAGGGATGGTGTGTGTCTTAGGTTTGTCTTAGGTATGGTGTGTGTCTTAGGTGTGTCTTGAGGATGGTGTGTCTTTTAGGGATGGTGTGTGTCTTAGAAGTGTCTTGAGGATGGTGTGTGTGTTAGGAATGGTGTGTGTCTTAGGTGTGTCTTAGGAATAGTGTGTGTCTAGGTGTGTCTTGAGCATGGTGTGTGTCTTGAGGATGGTGTGTGTCTTAGGGATGGTGTGTGTCTAGGTGTGTCATGAGGATCGTGTGTGTCTTGAGGGATGTATGTCTTAGGTGTGTCTTGAGGATGGTGTGTGTCTTGAGGATGGTGTGTGTCTTAGGTGTGTCTTGAGGATGGTGTGTGTCTTGAGGATGGTGTGTGTTTTAGGTGTGTCTTGAGGATGGTGTGAGTCTTAGGGATGGTGTGTGTCTTAGGTGTGTCTTGAGGATGGTGTGTGTCTAGGTGTGTCTTGAGGATGGTGTGTGTTTTAGGTGTGTCTTGAGGATGGTGTGTGTCTTAGGTGTCTTGAGGATGGTGTGTGTCTTAGGGATGGTGTGTGTCTTAGGTGTGTATTGAGGATGATGTGTGTCTTAGGTGTCTTGAGGATGGTGTGTGTCTTAGGTGTGTCTTGAGGATGGTGTGTGTCTTGAGGATGGTGTGTGTCTTAGATGTGTCTTGAGGATGATGTGTGTCTTAGGGATGGTGTGTGTCTTGAGGATTGTGTGTGTCTTAGGTGTCTTAAGGATGGTGTGTGTCTAGGTGTGTCTTAGGTGTGTCTTAGTTGTTTTAGGGATGGTGTGTGTCTTAGGTTTGTCTTAGGTATGGTGTGTGTCTTAGGTGTGTCTTGAGGATGGTGTGTCTTTTAGGGATGGTGTGTGTCTTAGAAGTGTCTTGAGGATGGTGTGTGTGTTAGGAATGGTGTGTGTCTTAGGTGTGTCTTAGGAATGGTGTGTGTCTAGGTGTGTCTTGAGCATGGTGTGTGTCTTGAGGATGGTGTGTGTCTTAGGGATGGTGTGTGTCTAGGTGTGTCATGAGGATCGTGTGTGTCTTGAGGGGATGTATGTCTTAGGTGTGTCTTGAGGATAAGGTGTGTCTTGAGGATGGTGTGTGTCTTAGGTGTGTCTTGAGGATGGTGTGTGTCTTGAGGATGGTGTGTGTTTTAGGTGTGTGTCTTGAGGATGGTGTGTAGTCTTAGGGATGGTGTGTGTCTTAGGTGTGTATTGAGGATGGTGTGTGTGTCTTAGGGATGGTGTGTGTCTTAGGTGTGTCTTGAGGATGGTGTGTGTCTTAGGGATGTGTGTGTCTTAGGTGTGTCTTGAGGATGGTGTGTGTCATTAGAAGTGTGTCTTGAGGATGGTGTGTGTCTTAGGGATGGTGTGTGTCTTAGAGTTGTGTGTGTCTTAAGTGTCTTGAGGATGGTGTGTGTCTAGATGTGTGTCTTAGGTGTGTCTTAGGTGTTTTAGGGATGGTGTGTGTCTTAGGTATGTCTTGAGGGATTGTGTGTGTCTTTTAGGGATGGTGTGTGTCTTAGGAGTGTCTTGAGGATGGTGTGTGTGTTAGGGATGGTGTGTGTCTTAGGTGTGTCTTAGGGATGGTGTGTGTCTAGGTGTGTCTTGGGATGGTGTGTGTCTTAGGTGTGTCTTGAGGATGGTGTTTGTTTTGAGGATGGTGTGTGTCTTAGGTGTCTTGAGGATGGTGTGTGTCTTGGGTGTCTTGAGGATGGTGTCTGTCTTAGGGATGGTGTGTGTCTTAGGTGTGTGTTAAGGATGGTGTGTGTCTTAGGGATGGTGGGTGTCTAAGGTGTGTCTTGAGGATGATGTGTGTCTTAGGTGTCTTGAGGATGGTGTGTGTCTAAGGTGTGTCTTGAGGATGGTGTGTGTTTTAGGTGTGTCTTGAGGATGGTGTGAGTCTTAGGGATGGTGTGTGTGTCTTGAGGATGGTGTGTGTCTAGGTGTGTCTTGAGGATGGTGTGTGTCTTGGGAGAGTGTGTGTGTCTTGGAGTGTGGTGTGTGTGTCTTAGGTGTGTCTTGAGGATGGTGTGTGTCTTAGGTGTCTTGAGGATGGTGTGTGTCTTAGGGATGGTGTGTGTCTTAGGTGTGTCTTGAGGATGATGTGTGTCTTAGGTGTCTTGAGGATGGTGTGTGTCTTAGGTGTGTCTTGAGGATGGTGTGTGTCTTGAGGATGGTGTGTGTCTTAGATGTGTCTTGAGGATGATGTGTGTCTTAGGGATGGTGTGTGTCTTGAGGATTGTGTGTGTCTTAGGTGTCTTAAGGATGGTGTGTGTCTAGGTGTGTCTTAGGTGTGTCTTAGTTGTTTTAGGGATGGTGTGTGTCTTAGGTTTGTCTTAGGTATGGTGTGTGTCTTAGGTGTGTCTTGAGGATGGTGTGTCTTTTAGGGATGGTGTGTGTCTTAGAAGTGTCTTGAGGATGGTGTGTGTGTTAGGAATGGTGTGTGTCTTAGGTGTGTCTTAGGAATGGTGTGTGTCTAGGTGTGTCTTGAGCATGGTGTGTGTCTTGAGGATGGTGTGTGTCCTAGGGATGGTGTGTGTCTAGGTGTGTCATGAGGATCGTGTGTGTCTTGAGGGGATGTATGTCTTAGGTGTGTCTTGAGGATAAGGTGTGTCTTGAGGATGGTGTGTGTCTTAGGTGTGTCTTGAGGATGGTGTGTGTCTTGAGGATGGTGTGTGTTTTAGGTGTGTCTTGAGGATGGTGTTAGTCTTAGGGATGGTGTTAGTCTTAGGTGTGTTTTGAGGATGGTGTGTGTCTAGGTGTGTCTTGAGGATGGTGTGTGTTTTAGGTGTGTCTTGAGGATGGTGTGTGTCTTAGGTGTCTTGAGGATGGTGTGTGTCTTAGGGATGGTGTGTGTCTTAGGTGTGTATTGAGGATGGTGTGTGTCTTAGGGATGGTGTGTGTCTTAGGTGTGTCTTGAGGATGGTGTGTCTTAGGTGTGTCTTAGGTGTGTCTTGAGGATGGTGTGTGTCTTAGGTGTGTCTTGAGGATGGTGTGTGTCTTAGGGATGGTGTGTGTCTTGAGGATTGTGTGTGTCTTAAGTGTCTTGAGGATGGTGTATGTCTAGGTGTGTCTTAGGTGTGTCTTAGGTGTTTTAGGGATGGTGTGTGTCTTAGGTATGTCTTGGGGATGGTGTGTCTTTTAGGGATGGTGTGTGTCTTAGGAGTGTCTTGAGGATGGTGTGTGTGTTAGGGATGGTGTGTGTCTTAGGTGTGTCTTAGGGATGGTGTGTGTCTAGGTGTGTCTTGGGGATGGTGTGTGTCTTAGGTGTGTCTTGAGGATGGTGTTTGTTTTGAGGATGGTGTGTGTTTTAGGGTGTCTTGAGGATGGTGTGTGTCTTGGGTGTCTTGAGGATGGTGTCTGTCTTAGGGATGGTGTGTGTCTTAGGTGTGTGTTAAGGATGGTGTGTGTCTTAGGGATGGTGGGTGTCTAAGGTGTGTCTTGAGGATGATGTGTGTCTTAGGTGTCTTGAGGATGGTGTGTGTCTAAGGTGTGTCTTGAGGATGGTGTGTGTCTTGAGGATGGTGTGTGTTTTAGGTGTGTCTTGAGGATGGTGTGAGTCTTAGGGATGGTGTGTGTCTTAGGTGTGTCTTGAGGATGGTGTGTGTCTAGAGTGTGTCTTGAGGATGGTGTGTGTTTTAGGTGTGTCTTGAGGATGGTGTGTGTCTTAGGTGTCTTGAGGATGGTGTGTGTCTTAGGGATGGTGTGTGTCTTAGGTGTGTCTTGAGGATGATGTGTGTCTTAGGTGTCTTGAGGATGGTGTGTGTCTTAGGTGTGTCTTGAGGATGGTGTGTGTCTTGAGGATGGTGTGTGTCTTGAGGATGGTGTGTGTCTTAGGTGTGCCTTGAGGATGGTGTGTGTCTTAGGGATGGTGTGTGTCTTAGGTGTGTCTTGAGGATGGTGTGTCTTAGGTGTGTCTTAGGTGTGTCTTGAGGATGGTGTGTGTCGTAGGTGTGTCTTGAGGATGGTGTGTGTCTTAGGGATGGTGTGTGTCTTGAGTTGTGTGTGTCTTAAAGTGTCTTGAGGATGGTGTGTGTCTAGGTGTGTCTTAGGTGTTAGGTGTTTTAGGATAGTGTGTGTCTTAGGTGTGTCTTAGGTATGGTGTGTGTCTTAGGTGTGTCTTGAGGATGGTGGTGTGTCTTTTAGGGATGGTGTGTGTCCTAGAAGTGTGTCTTGAGGATGGTGTGTGTGTTTAGGATGGTGGTGTGTCTTAGGTGTGTCTTAGGGATGGTGTGTGTCTAGGTGTGTCTTGAGGATGGTGTGTGTCTTAGGTGTGTCTTGAGGATGGTGTGTGTTTGGTGAGGATGGTGTGTGTCTTAGGTGTCTTGAGGATGGTGTGTTTCTTGGGTGTCTTGTGGATGGTGTCTGTCTTAGGGATGGTGTGTGTCTTAGGTGTGTCTTGAGGATGATGTGTGTCTTAGGTGTCTTGAGGATGGTGTGTGTCTAAGGTGTGTCTTGAGGATGGTGTGTGTCTTAGGTGTGTCTTGAGGATGGTGTGTGTCTTAGGGATGGTGTGTGTCTTAGGTGTGTCTTGAGGATGGTGTGTGTCTTAGGGATGGTGTGTGTCTAAGGTGTGTCTTGAGGATGGTGTGTGTCTTAGGGATGGTGTGTGTCTTAGGTGTGTCTTGAGGATGGTGTGTCTTAGGTGTGTCTTAGGTGTGTCTTGAGGATGGTGTCTGTCTTAGGGATGGTGTGTGTCTTAGGTGTTTGTTAAGGATGGTGTGTGTCTTAGGAATGGTGTGTGTCTAAGGTGTGTCTTGAGGATGATGTGTGTCTTAGGTGTGTCTTGAGGATGGTGTGTGTCTTAGGTGTGTCTTAGGGATGGTGTGTGTCTTAAGTGTGTCTTGAGGATGGTGTGTGTCTTAGGGATGGTGTGTGTCTAAGGTGTGTCTTGAGGATGGTGTGTGTCTTTAGGGATGGTGTGTGTCTTAGGTGTGTCTTGAGGATGGTGTGTGTCTTGAGGATGGTGTGTGTCTAAGGTGTGTCTTGAGGATGGTGTGTGTCTTAGGGATGGTGTGTGTCTTAGGTGTGCCTTGAGGATGGTGTGAATCTTAGGTGTGTTTTGAGGATGGTGTGTGTCTTAGGTGTGTCTTAGGGATGGTGTGTGTCTTGAGGATGGTGTGTGCCTTAGGTGTGTCACAGGGATGCTGTGTGTCTTGAGGATGGTGTGTGTCTTAGGTGTGTCTTGAGGATCAATCATCCTAAATGGACAGTACAGCACTTGTCCTATACTAACAGTACAACTTGATAGGAATCGATGTCTTTTTCATTACGCAAGCGATTTTTATAAACGTATTTGTTTTAAACCTTTTGCGTATCTAACATTTTAAATGCGTAATTGGTACGCAACAATTATTTTTCAATGCGTAATTGGAAATTTTGATATGCGTATTTTGCCCGGATACGCAGCTTATCTGGGCCTCTGCCACATGAGTAAATGTGTGAAGCCCATTTCTGGTGTCCCCTGCCGTGATATTGCTGCGATATTGCTTAAAGCAGAGTAAAACTGAACGCAATCACTCTGATGTATTTGCTTAACTCAGATTTATGTTTATCTTTCATGATAAGAAAAAACATTCTGGCTCCGATCTATCATTTAGAGGTCAAGGCAACACCACCTTCCAGTTTGATATGATGACTGTTGTTTCAAAATGTAGGGCATATGATCACTTGGAAAAGTCTAAAGGTGTGTCTTTAGGATGGTGTGTGTCTTAGGTGTGTCTTGAGGATGGTGTGTGTCTTAGGTTTGTGTCTTAGCGATGGTGTGGGTCTAGGTGTGTCTTGAGGATGGTGTGTCTTGAGGATGGTGTGTGTCTTAGGGATGGTGTGTGTCTTAGGGATGGTGTGTGTCTTAGGGATGGTGTGTGTCTTAGGTGTGCCTTGAGGATGGTGTGTGTCTTAGGGATGGTGTGTGTCTTAGGTGTATCTTGAGGATGGTGTGTGTCTTAGGTGTGTCTTGAGGATGGTGTGTCTTAGGTGTGTCTTAGGTGTGCCTTGAGGATGGTGTGTGTCTTAGGTGTATCTTGAGGATGGTGTGTGTCTTAGGGATGGTGTGTGTCTTAGGTGTGTCTTGAGGATGGTGTGTGTCTTAGGTGTGTCTTGGGATGGTGTGTGTCTTAGGGATGGTGTGTGTCTCTTAGGGTGTGTCTTGAGGATGGTGTGTGTGTCTTGAGTGTGTCTTGAGGATGGTGTGTGTCTAGGTGTCTTGAGGATGATGTGTGTCTTGGGGATGGTGTGTGTCTTAGGTGTGTCTTGAGGATGGTGTGTGTCTTGAGGATGGTGTGTGTCTTAGGATGTGTGTCTTGAGGATGTGTGTGTGTGATAAAGTGTGTGTCTTAGGGATGGTGTGTGTCTTAGGTGTGTCTAGAGGATGATGTGTGTCTTAGGGATGGTGTGTGTCTTAGGTGTGTCTTGAGGATGGTGTGTGTCTTAGGGATGGTGTGTGTCTTAGGTGTGTCTTGAGGATGGTGTGTGTCTTAGGGATGGTGTGTGTCTTAGGTGTGTCTTGAGGATGGTGTGTGTCTTAGGATGTGTGTGTCTTAGGTGTGTCTTAAGGATGGTGTGTGTCTTAGGTGTGTCTTGAGGATGGTGTGTGTCTTAGGGATGGTGTGTGTCTTAGGTGTGTCTTGAGGATGGTGTGTGTCTTAGGGATGGTGTGTGTCTTAGGAGTGTGTGTTGAGGATGGTATGTGTCTTAGGGATGGTGTGTGTCTTAGGGATGGTGTGTCTTAGGTGTGTCTTGAGGATGGCATGTGGTGTCTTAGGTGTGCCTTGAGGATGGTGTGTGTTTTAGACCTTTGTCTTAGGGATGGTGTGTGTCTTGAGGATGGTGTGTGTCTTAGGTGTATTTTAGGGATGTGTGTCTTAGGTGTGCCTTGAGGTTGGTGTGTGTCTTAGTGATGGTGTGTGTCTAAGGTGTGTCTTGAGGATGGTGTGTGTCTTGAGGGATGGGTGTGTCAAAATGTCTAAGGTTCTGTCTTGAGGATGGTGTGTGTCTTAGGGATGGTGTGTGTCTTAGGGGATGTGTGCCTTGAGGATGGTGGTGTGTGTCTTTAGGTGTGTCTTGAGGATGGTGTGTGTCTTAGGTGTGTCTTGAGGATGGTGTGTCTTAGGTGTGTCTTAGGTGTGCCTTGAGGATGGTGTGTGTCTTAGGTGTATCTTGAGGATGGTGTGTGTCTTAGGGATGGTGTGTGTCTTAGGTGTGTCTTGAGGATGGTGTGTGTCTTAGGTGTCTTGAGGATGGTGTGTCTTAGGGATGGTGTGTGTCTTAGGTGTGTCTTGAGGATGGTGTGTGTTTTAGGTGTGTCTTGAGGATGGTGTGTGTCTAGGTGTCTTGAGGATGATGTGTGTCTTAGGGATGGTGTGTGTCTTAGGTGTGTCTTGAGGATGGTGTGTGTCTTGGGGATGGTGTGTGTCTTAGGTGTGCCTTGAGGATGGTGTGTGTGTTAGGTGTATCTTGGGGATGGTGTGTGTCTTAGGTGTGTCTAGAGGATGATGTGTGTCTTAGGGATGGTGTGTGTCTTAGGTGTGTCTTGAGGATGGTGTGTGTCTTAGGGATGGTGTGTGTTTTAGGTGTGTCTTGAGGATAGTGTGTGTCTTAGGGATGGTGTGTCTTAGGTGTGCCTTGAGGATGGTTTGTGTCTTAGGGATGGTGTGTGTCTTAGGTGTGTCTTGAGGATGGTGTGTGTCTTAGGTGTGTCTTGAGGATGGTGTGTGTCTTAGGGATGGTGTGTGTCTTAGGTGTGTTTTGAGGATGGTGTGTGTCTTAGGGATGGTGTGTGTCTAAGGTGTGTGTTGAGGATGGTATGTGTCTTAGGGATGGTGTGTGTCTTAGGTGTGTCTTAGGGATGGCGTGTGTCTTAGGTGTGCCTTGAGGATGGTGTGTGTCTTAGGGATGGTGTGTGTCTTGAGGATGGTGTGTGTCTTAGGTATGTGTGTGTCTTAGGTGTGCCTTGAGGTTGGTGTGTGTCTTAGTGATGGTGTGTGTCTAAGGTGTGTCTTGAGGATGGTGTGTGTCTTAGGGATGGTGTGTGTCTAAGGTTCGTCTTGAGGATGGTGTGTGTCTTAGGGATGGTGTGTGTCTTAGGTGTGCCTTGAGGATGGTGTGTGTCTAGGTGTGTCTTGAGGATGGTGTGTGTCTTAGGTGTCTTGAGCATGGTGTGTGTCTTGAGAATGGTGTGTCTTATGTGTCTTAGGGATGGTGTGTGTGTTAGGTGTGTCTTGAGGATGGTGTGTGTGTGTGTTTTCGGGATGGTGTGTGTGTGTGTATTGAGGATGGTGAGTGTGTGTGCCTTGGGGATGGTTTTGTATGTGTGCGTACCTGCGTGCGTGCGTACTGACTGGTAGTGGTAGACTAAATTAAAATCCCATTTTATTCATTTAATCATTCGAACTTTTCATACGGAACGAAACTGTGTCTTTACTACAACAAAACAAGGTTTTCACCTGTCCTAACATTTTTGTTCACTTAGTTTGTCTAGTAGTAGCTTTTAATTACGAACACGTAGACACTGTAACACGCTCAAAATTCGCACTTGCCTCCGAGACAAGGATTCCTTACTCCTTATGTCATGGGTGTTCCTTTTTAACAAAATCCATCATTTTGAAGTTGCTTTGTGTCAAATATTATTCTGTTCTTTCGTGATCAGAACCTGGCACTTGATCGATGCGGAGAAATGCGATCTCAGCAGGGGCGGATACAGCTTTTTGAGAAAGGGGGGTGCACACTACTGAGAAAAGGGGGGTTGCACATTTCATTTCCACCCGAGTTTCAATGGTCATATAACAAACTTTCTGGACAAAAGGGGGGGTGCGCACCCTTGCACCCCCTCTCTGGATCCGCCTATGCTCAGGTTATACATGTCTGGAACTTCCCATCGGCAGAGTGATACTCAGGTCGAACTCGTTAACATGTCTCATGACATCTTCTCGTTCTGTCGTTCTGCACATATACACAGTGTTCAATGTGTACAATATATACACGCAGCACAACGCCTTGACTCAGGCCTGGTAGGCAGGTATTCAAGTATTTGAAAAAAGACTGTGCATTGTTGCTTTGTTAACAATGACCTGGTTACACAGACCTCAAAGCTAATCGAATACGACGACACCATGTAATATTATTGTGAAACAGATTATGCTTGTGAGCAGATTGTTTCTCTAAGGGTAAATTTAAATAAACAACAAACACCGACAGACATCTTACTCAAAATGTTGGCTGAGAGAGCAACAACGTTGATGTGAACTTACAAGTGCAGCCTTCGCTGTCATTCTACAAGTTGCGTCAAACACCAATGATCATTTGGAAATCTTACGTGCGCTTTCCGACATGATGCGTATTTCGCCTGCGGTGTAAAACACCCAGAGTTGTGTCCCTTTAATACTTCCGCGTTTACAACCCGGTGCTGGATTATACTCCGAAAATCTTCACGATATGTACTGTTAATGCAGGTCTGTGCATACTGGGGCGTCTTTAATGACATAAAAGACTTTTTACCTGTGTCTAATTCCTGTGATATACAGTGCATAAACATATACAATCCTGACCTACATATTCAAGTCAGCTAATTCCAAACCACTGCTTACTATCAGGACTGCCTGATGCTGTATTGAACAGCTAAATATATAATCATCCAACGAAGGCAAATCCTAGTGCTAGTGCTCAGGTTAAGATACTATAAATTACATACCTTCCCCTGGCTTTATCGGTGCTTCGAGAAATAGAATATATGTCCCGTGACAGGTCTGCATTTATCACGTGACACGTTTGAAATACGCAGTGTCATTACGGTTGAGCGGTACAATGTATATGTTTATGAAAATAATCATAAGCGTAGCACTTTGAGATAACATGTCCTGTCCTGTAGCCGAGTATGTGTAACGTATGGAACAGTCTGATCAGTGACCCTTTAAAATTCGGCCTCGCGCGTATATTCTTGACACAGCAAATGAAGACACAAAAATAAGCACGTTATTACTGCAAATACACACAATTTAATGTTAGACGCGTAATATCCCAGTCAATATCCATACAGGACGATATCAAAAACATCTGAGATGAGTGAGTGGGCTTAGTTTTCTGCCGCACTCAGCAATATTCCAGCTATATGGCAGCGGTCTGTAAATAATGGAGTCTGGACCAGGCAATCCAGTGATCAACAGCATGAGCATCGTCCTACACAATTGGGAACCGATGACATGTGTCTACCAAGTCAGCGAGCCTGACCGAATGTGGCAGAGAACATCAAAATAGATTTATTCAGATGTTACTGTCACAAAGTTTGGTTGTTGTTGTGTGTGTTGTTGTTGTTGTGTTTTGTTTGTTTGGTTTTTTGGGGGTGGGGGGGGGTGGGGGTGGGGGTATCTTTTTGCCATTGTCACAAACTTAGACATCTCACTCATTGACTTTTTTTTTTATTCTCTGACATTTGATAGTGTATCAATAAATGAAATGTAAGAAAGGGATTGTTAATACCTTTCTTGTAAATTTTACACTTCACACTGACACAAGAAGCAAGTAATTGACACAGTAGTCGGTTTAGGTCCTGAGTTCGAGTCGGCGGAAACAAAAAAATGTTTACAGAGAAACACAGAAATATATAATGTTGCCCATAGTGGTCAGTCGGTGATATTACTGAAAATGCCTCTACCAGTCCAGGGATATAAAATGTAAACTCACAACTTCAAACTTGACCAGAAAACAATTTATTGATATTTTCTAAAAGGAACACGTGAGGTCAAAGATTACAGATCCAATCAAATAGTGGTGATGATTTTACGGGCGGTTTCAGAGGAACCGAATTCGCACTTACTCGGGATGATTTATGTTACAATTATTTATTAATTAAATCACACGTGACACATTTAAAGGGTGTTTGAAATTAGCCGATGCTGGCCCAGTGATATTTCACGCTTCCTGGGCAGATATGTATCATGTGGCGAACAGCTTCAAATGATATAACAGGTTAAATTTAGGATTACACTTTTCAATAAAGATCCGTGAAGGTCCGGGTTAGACTGAACCTTCAATTACCCATGCTAGTCGTAAGAGGCGACTAACGGGTTCGGGTGGTAAAACTCGGTGGCTTGGTTGACGCATGTCATCTGTTCCCAATTGCGCAGATTGATGCTCATGCTGTTGATCACTGGATTGTCTGGTCCAGACTCGATTATTTACAGACCGCCGCCATATAGCTGGAATATTGCTGAGTGCGGCGTAAAACTGAATTCACTCACTCACTTTCTCAATAAAGTACGGAATCTAGTACATTTGTTGGGTTGTGTCCCATCCGGGATTCGAACCCACACCCTCAGAGTCAGGCACCTAATCGCCAGCACACAAAGTCAGCCGTCTAACCCACTTAGTCTCCGGATGGGTTAGACAGCCGGATGGGACTCAACCCCACCAATAGTGTATTCACATCTTCAGATGCTGATGTTGGGGTGAGGATTTTACGGACGATTTGGGAGACCCCGATTTGGGAGACCCCGATTTCCCAATCATGAAGCATATCACCACTCACTCGATCAGTATGAAGATCAATTTCTATCTTGATCAATAATTAACGCATTACACGTACATTTAAAAGGGCTTTAAAATTGAAATAACGACAATTTAAAAAGTACTTACATATAGTTACTTACGTATACATATTAGTAGGACTGCACGGTATTATCGGAATATCGCAATACGTGTTTAGGGACTTATAATGTAGAAGATAGGATTGACATGCACAAATAGTGTCACTCACTGTCCAATACTTGAGTTCCCAATATATCGCAATACGTATCGAAATACGGGTGCGCGAATCGCAATATATTGCAATACAATTTATTTGCCAATACACAGCCCTACGTATACATATAAGTAATATTCACATTAGCGGGTGACCTCGCCCAGATGAACACCTAATATTTATTATTACTTACGAGGGTGAAAATATCGGGGTTCATATTTTCATACGATGCCCTAAGGCAAAATATCACTTTGTGGTGGTGACGTGACGTCATGAACAATGCTATAACATCAAGTTTCTTCTATGACGTTGCGTTCTACGTGCGGCAAAGGCGGGTAGCCAGCCTATGTTTGAAAGTAGATTTGGGTTTATTTCCCTCAATTTGACGACTTCGGTAATAAATAGAATATTATATTCGTGCCCATATGATACTATCATTACGACACGAGTGCCTAAATGTTGGTATTTCCCGAGCCAGAGCGAGAGATATACCGATATATAGACCATTCTTAATGAGGCCTCATGAATATTCATATCTGTACCAAAACGAGGCTAAATTGGGCAAGGACACAATCGCATAATGGCGACAAATCTCAATGTATACTTCCGGGTTTCAAATTTCCCTTGAATGGTACATTACGAAACTGTCCAGTAGTTCAAGGAAATCGCAGAGAAATGGGAAAGGGCTACAAAAATGTTTCTGTAGCATATCCACGGATTGAAGGGTGAATAATTACTGTACTTCGTCTTCACGACACATCACGATAAGTCATATGACCTAGATATCTAGGTTAACGTTTACCATGTTGCGCAGCATTTATGAAGGGAAGCTACTCTAAAGTCACAATAGTGGAAATATTACCAAGGGAAGTCAATTACGTTTACTTTATCAACATATGAACAAAGCAAAAGACTCAACGTATTTCCTGACCTGGATTCAAATCATCCACTTCCACATGGGAGTAGTGTTGTTAATTCTTGAGCTGGATAATCGAGATTATAAGTAATATGTAGATCAAGATAGCTCCTCGAGTGGATCTGGACCAAACACAATTGTATTATTCATGTGATGAAATTATTTGTTTGGTATTTTTTTCTGTTTAAAATGTTTTGTCCTATCGACTCTGTTTTATAGATATAGGGTATTTAATCACGCACATATTTTCAGTTGTACCTACTGGTGATGGCGATGTGCGCGTAACTACATGTTACAATCGCAGAGGAACAACGCCACATCATATATCATGTAGAAACTATTTATTTCAATCAACATGAGTGGGACACAAAGTGCAAGACAAAACTGGATGATGTTTTTTCAAGTTCTTTCTTGACTGATTTGGTGGTGAATAATTATTTTACCTAAATGGACATATGGTACCTGCAAGGGGAATATTTGAAACAATTTTCAATACTGTGTTAGTATACCATAAAATTGATTTATTGTAGATCTGGTGTATTTATTCTGTACCACTGTAACTGAAGACCTTTTTTAAGGAGAACATATCATCAGATTAACATAACAGGATTCACACTACAGCAAACAATTAGTAACCTAAATAAATAACGAACACCTGGAGTGCAGTTAATAAAAATTTATTCTGAAATGGTGTCTTAAAAGTCCAATAACAATAGACACATTAACAATAGCTTCCAACTGTAACACTGATGAATAACAATAAAATTTTCAGAGGATGCAAATTGAAAATATATTAAGTGCAGTATTTATGTTGATAGAAATATCTTTTTAGATTAGTCTGACATGAATGACAACAATTACAGCTGGATCAATTCATAATTTATCATAGTTTTCTCCCCTTACACATTCTCAAAATCTCTTACCTATGAATGATTTTTTTTTCTGATTCCCAACTAACTCTTTTCAAACAGGATGAAATAAATTCTTTTTCATCAATTATTAATTAAACAGCAGCAAATGAGTTACATCTACAACTATGCCATTATGAAAGACCTTTCTATTATTCAGCTAAATCCATCAATGTGTATGTATTACAGCTGTCTCTTTTTTCATCCATCATTTACACAACACAAAAGCACGAAACAATTTCATTTACATTCATGTCTGTCAATTCTTGTGCTGTTTGGGCAAGGTACATCACAAAACCTGGGAAGATATTCAACAAATGAAAAAGTTCCAGCTAATCAGTGCCAATGTTTGAAATGACGGAATACTTTTTATCATCATACATGAATTTACAAACTCCAAACTTTTCAAGTTCAAGTTTTCTGTTCAATTTTTCTATTTTGTCAACCTTTTCCTTGAGTTGCCTCTCCTGTTCATGTAAGTTTTGCTGGAGTTGTTCTATGTAGGACTGGGGTCAGTGGCTGCTGTATCACTCTCTGCTTCACTGTAATATAAGCATTGTAAAGCATCACTATTATCTCTTCGACCACACAAACAATAAATATATCTCTGGAATTACAAATATACATCATGGAATAGAGGCTAACATCATTTCATATTTTAGACAGTATGGGCAATCAATATTTTTATATGTAAATAACATAGCATATAGGTCAAAGTTCAGTTGTAATAAATTCTTTAAAACCATGTCAGTTGGCAAAATTGACTTAATACGATCTGACATTCTTACTGTATCTGAGATGGTGACTGTGGTAGATTCCTTATGGGCGGTTCCTGAGCTGGTGACATGCTCTCTGACTCTTAATTAGCAGCATCTGAAATGGATATTTAGACACTAAATATATTTCAGTTGTTGTACTTAGATTGTCCTGTAATATTTCCTGTATTCCTGAAGTACTGGTCAGTACGGAAGCGCTGAAGGGACCTCATAAAATAAAAATTATCTTGAGCGCACAAGTTAATATCTTGAGCGCTCAAGTTAGTTATCTTGAGCGCACAAGTTAGTATCTTGAGCGCACAAGTTAATATCTTGAGCGCTCAAGTTAATATCTTGAGCGCACAAGTTAGTTATCTTGAGCGCACAAGTTAGTATCTTGAGCGCACAAGTTAATATCTTGAGCGCACAAGTTACTTATCTTGAGCGCACAAGTTAGTTATCTTGAGCGCACAAGTTAGTATCTTGAGCGCACAAGTTAATATCTTGAGCGCACAAGTTAGTATCTTGAGCGCACAAGTTAATATCTTGAGCGCACAAGTTAATATCTTGAGCGCACAAGTTAATATCTTGAGCGCACAAGTTAGTTATCTTGAGCGCACAAGTTAGTATCTTGAGCGCACAAGTTAATATCTTGAGCGCTCAAGTTAATATCTTGAGCGCACAAGTTAGTATCTTGAGCGCACAAGTTAGTATCTTGAGCGCACAAGTTACCATCTTGAGCGCACAAGTTAGTATCTTGTGCGCACAAGTTAATATCTTGAGCGCTCAACTCCGTGTTTAGCATCTAATGGCATTAATGGAACGCACATTTGCTTGACTGCTGGCTAAAATGTACAAACTTATATCCTTTTTGGAAGATTTCAAACGATGCAAAGTCGGAGTTAACTATAGGTGTTTATGATGAGACTATGTAAAAGTATGCAAATGTATCATGAACATTGATAATGTTTATCATGTAAACGTTCATCGTCTTTATGCTTGTCAATACTATTCTTTGTATCTGATTTTACCACTTTTTGCTTTATTACATAAAGCAGGCCTAGGTATGTGTCATGTCATAATAAGAATTAAAACATAAACATGAGTTGGAGTTTATTGCAGGGATGAATAGTGGTTTTACTTACTTCTTATATTGGTACATAGAATTATGAACACTTGGATAACTTGTTTTTTTGCTACGGCTTTATTATGTATATATATTATTACATGACCATGAAAAATGTAAACATTGAGTGTTATACTTAATTATCTTAATTATAAAACTAATGTCTGATGTATTGGAAGTAAAGTCGACCACTTTCAGGGAACTATAGTCTGTAGTCTTGGTTTGCATGTATCAGTAATGTTTCCTAACGTGGGTACAATGGCAGTTTAACTCTGTACAATATCATTTAAAACCCGCCTGATTTATTTGATCCATTAGTATGTGCACGTATAGCATATATACCGACTTTATTTCTTACTAAAATACCGTGTTCCCCGTTTCACTTCTTCCGTATCCATTTCTGGTGTCCTCCGCCGTGATATTGCTGGAATATTGCTAAAAGCGGCGTAAAACTAAACTCAGTCAGTCAGTCAGTCTTCCGTATCAATCCCTTATGTATACGTATGTGTGTTGTAGTTTATTTAACATGTTTTAACAACACAGGAAGTTGAAGAATAAAGACGTCGATGAAGACAGTGCCCTGAGCGAAATTCAACACCATTCGGGTCCAACAACGACCGTACAGTATCCTGTTTCACGATTAAACCGCATTGAATACATTTTTTGATGCATCAACGATAACCATGTCTTTGTTCAGATCGTCGAAGTCGTCCGCAATAAAGTATGTAACATCAGCGCGGCGGTGGGGTAGCCTCGTGGTTAAAGCGTCCGCCCGTCACGCCTGGGTTCGATTCCCCAACCTGGGTACAAAGTGTGCAGCCCATTTCTCGTGTTCCCCACCGTGATATTGCTGGAATATTGCTAAAAGCGGTGTAAACCGTATTCACTCACTCACTGTAACATCAGCAAATCTGGTATCTGGTACGAGAGAGGGACATACACCTCATAATACGCTTCAAGTGGTGCACTATACTATACCATGATTTTTGACAAGAAGATGTGTTATGTGTTTGTATTGGAACCCAAGCCTGAAATAAGCATGAATCAGCTCGCGTTTCCGCTGCTCCTTGCTTCCACATGAACTGCTTATGAAGCAGTGTATCTCAATATATACTAAGTTGAGCGCTCAACATACTAACGTGTGCGCTCAAGATACTAACTTGTGCGCTCAAGATACTAACTTGTGCACTCAAGATAACTAACGTGTGCGCTCAAGATACTAACTTGAGCGCTCAATATATTAACCTGTGCACTCAAGATAACTAACTTGTGCGCTCAAGATATTAACTTGTGCGCTCAAGATACTAACTTGTGCGCTCAAGATAAATTATATTTCATGAGGTCCCTTCAGCGCTTCCGTAGGTCAGTATGCAGTAATTTTGAAAGTACATATTTAAGATTGTTTTAACAGCATCTGTGTGTCCTGCATATACATGTACTTGAAATGTTACTTTGATTTGCAGCCAATCTAATTTCACTGATACAGAATATTTGCAAATAAAATTCCCTTGCCATCATGACAAGAATGTCTCCATATGTCCATATGCTTAAAAAAAAAAAATATAATAGACCGTTCATAATTTATGACTAGGGGGGTGATGATGATTTTAGGTGCGGTGTTTGTGGGGGTTGGGGTGTCTCCCAGTTTGTTTTGGGAGGCAGGGGGAGGGGTCAATTGTGTACATATGAACTAGGGGGTGATCACTAATTTTGAACATGACAATGTGTGTGAGGGGTTGGGGGTGGGGTGGGTGTTGAATGTGTCTGTGTGTGTGTGACATTCACATTGTACATGTGCCCCTAACATTAAAACCTTGCATAGTGAACAGTTTGTACATTACACGGCAGATCTAGACTATGCCATGTGCCGTAATTATTTTGTACTTACTATGAATCATTTTCCAGGATCTCTCCGTATTTTCGTCAACCACTGCCTTCTTCTGATCTTATTCTTGGGAATATGCTGAAAAGATACCGTAAAATCCTTACGGGCATCACTCCAACGCAAAGGCACACAGCAGTTATCTTTCCTTTTCGAGGTCGCCATTTTCAAGGTTGGGTCAACCTATTTAAGCCTCGCTTTCGATTTGACCTCGAGGTCATGCATATTGGCTAAGAATGGTCTATCGGCACGAGTGTATAGGCATGACATGGAAACTCATATAATATATTCTATTTATTCCCCCCGTTGAAGATATCACTGTTTAATAAATCTACAATGTTACAGATTGTGTAATAACATCGCATGATGCCGGACGTATGACGTCATAATTGTTTACAGTTATGACGTCACAATGAACAATACCTCTGCCACAATGCTATTAGACTTTGCTTGACTCGCGGAAAGTTGCGAAATGGTCTCTGTTACGAGTCATCCCACTGTAGGCAGTTTCTATCAATTTATGGTGGAGGGTAATAAATAGAATACTAAACTCGCTTTCGTGAAATACCATTTTTATTAAACTCGTGAAAGATTTAGTATCATTAACTCGTTTAATAGAAATGGTATTACACGGAAGCGAGTTTAGTATCCTTTATGTAGTATCATTAACTCGTTTAATAGAAATGGTATTACACGGAAGCAAGTTTAGTATCCTTTATGTATGCATGCGGTCGTAAACTTCCCGATGAACATCAGTATGTCACGTGATTAATACGTTGAAAATCGAGCGGCGAGTTTGAGAACTACATGTATCAATATTTCGCGCTTCATGGAATTCATGTGAGGCAAATAATGTCTTCATCGGCTGTGAAACCGTAAACAAAAACACTGGTGGCTACATGTGATATGTCTGCATAAGAGCAATCATACCCGCCCACAAAAAAGTCAGCTTGAGATTGCAGCATCGATTTCCTATCAAATGCACGCTTATATTATCTCCCTTTGTTTGTGCGAACGAATGCGACCGGAAACACATGTGTTTGTAAACAGTCAGCCAGCGCGAGAACACGTTGGTCGCGATACTCAGCTTCATGGACCGCTGGCTGCAAGTAATAGCGGTTACACAACAGATGTCGGCATGAGATAGTTTGTCACAGCGTTCAGTACACGACTAACGTCGTCAGTCGAGCGTTCTGGTTAGTCGCCACAGACGCTCGAGGGAGAAACGTCTCGAGACATCTGACCAGCGTTTGACACTTCAGCGCACTGGGATTTTGGTATGTGCTGACCGGTTGAACTCGCTGTTGACTCTCACTGACCTATTTCAGTAATCTCGGACCACGTGGTGATTGTTTTGTTTCTCGCGTGATCAGGTTTAAACTCGCCGTACATTGTGTTCAGCAAGGTTAGACAGTGTGCGTATAAGCGTTGTCAATCTTCGGCCAATACAGATCCCAGCGTAACTGATAATTATACCTACGAAGTCCGTGGAATTACAGTGTTGACTGACAGGACAGCACGTGGAGATTTCTTTCTGTCCAGAGAGACACCACCACCAGCAAGATGACGCTGGTTTTGAGGAACATGCAGAAATTGGTGAAACTCAACATGAGACGTTTGGAAACGGAGATCAACATTTTGAGAAAGTGTTTTGGTGTGGAACAGTTCGACATGTCAGTGTTGTGTATTTGTGACGAAGAGATGGCGACCCTGAACTCGGCTTACAGGAGGATTAACTCGACAACAGACGTTCTTGCGTTTCCATTTTATGAGGTAACTATATATTGGTTGTAGTTAATGGTCATTTTAATGAATTTTTTAAATCTTCGGCAAAACGAATCTATGTAAGTTATAAAGTCATATTTCTTGTAATCTTTTAACATCTATTGCAACTTTCAGTTTTAACACTTTGATTGCAAAAGATTCAACCATGACAAGATGCTATAGAATCTACTCTTATTGTTACAAACCCTGCATTATGATGCTAGTCATTTTAAAATTGTTAAAGGGGAGTGGAGTGGGGTGTGACAAGATTTATCAGTGTTGATGGGGAGAGGGGCATGAAAAACTAACATGTCTGTTTATACAATTGTATATAATTTGAAAAATTACATCACGTTTCATTACTGGTGTACATTTATTTTAACACTGCTTTATAGAGTTCATAATCAGTCTTTATTGGAACAATCCTGTGGGTTGGTATGCAGCTTTGAGTCAGTGTCATTATTAACTGTTGAAAGTTGGAGATTATACAAGATTCCAAACTGAATACTCAAATTAAGGAAAATATGCTTACTGACCATTTTAAAAGTTCTTGAATTTAGATGAATTTTTACATTGCATTTTGAGATTGAATTCAATGCAGTGATATAAAACTTAGCATAAAAGCCACATCCTCTTGCTCAGTAATCAGTGAATTATCTCTACTAAGCAATGACATTAATTACTCGTTGTACATCTTAACATGAATTGGGAAAATGTTAAATTCTGATTTGGATTTTTTTTTTTTTACATTTGCTGCTGATTTGGGTGTTGATAAATCCCTGATACATTATATCGATGTTCATGTTCACCAACCTCTGTGAGATACCTTCTTTTTCGTTTTCACATAACCATCTGCTGACAAATATCATTAACTGCAAGAAGTATGAGTGTAGCTTGCCTAACTGCATTATATTGACATACCGGTATTCAGTATCTGCAGCCATGCACAACATAATTACTTAAAACCCATTTGAAAATATTCATGCAGGATATGAAACTCATTTCTTGTGTTAAATGAGCATATTCCTGGAATATTGCAAAGGGTGTAGAAAACACAGTGGAAAGTGAATAGTTCCATCCCCTGTCCGTGCTGTTCCTAAACTCTTTATATGATAGTTGTTGTTGCCCTTCCTTCGCTCAGCATTAAGTGATAAGCATATATATGTCTGATTGTGACGACGATGTTTTACAGGTTTTACGGGTTTTACATGATGCACCAATGTGCGTCCAGGATGCAGAAATGTAGAGAATGTACGAAGAAAATATTCACTGCATCCAGAAGGACGCACAACTTTATTCACTGTACACACAACACCTATGACTTTGCTAAGTGTTTGGTTTCTTTCAGAGCAGTTACATTGACAGGGCTTGATTTTAGATATGTAAACCTACTACCACCAGGTGCAACCTCAAATAAAAACATGGTTTCTCCAGCCAAATTTCAGTTGCAAGGTAGGGTGTTAAAATGTCAGAGGTTTCAGTGCACTTAAAACAAAGTTCCATGAATATTCTCAACTATTTGAGACCTCAAATAGTAGTCTTTTGTCTAGATTAGTCAGATAATGTACGAACAGTTTTGATTAGTTTTACATGCCTGCAGCCTTTGAAATACACTCCCCTTCTCCATCACGTGGCTAAACAGCCACCTATAATACCTGGTACAATCCATTTGCGACAAGACACCCGATGAATCCTCGTAATCATGTACGAGAAGGAACAATCAAATAAACTTTTTCGACTACAACTGTCCATGGGTGCACCATGTCACAAACAATTCCAGAAAATATAACAAAAAACAGGTTTCAGGTATTTAATTGATTCTAGAATTACAACTGAACGGAGGTGCGGGTGCCGTCTTTAACCCACTGGATGCCACAGGGACATATATGTCCTTCCCCTTCAACCCTCAATTTGAAGTCCAATAAAAATCAAAATATCCCACGCAAACAAATACACTTCACAGTTTCGAATTCTGCGGGAAATTTCCTGTTTCTTGATACCATCCACTATTATTTTAGACAAAGCTCAAGTGCTGAAAATGACCTTTCAAAATAGACTTCATCGAAAATGTCGCCACTTTGGACACAGCACTAAATCGCGATTCAAGGCGTTATTTGCTGTATGTTTTTAAATGTGAAAATCGGATAATTACTGGGAGTATTGAATTTCAAAAATAACATATTCATGATCACTGATATCAGTTTTACATGAAATTGCTAATGATAACTCTGAAACGCTGCCGATGAATCTAGAATCGGTTGGGATGTTTAATTTAAAATGCACTTACACATAATGCCGTGAGAGCCGCTTTCCGCCATATTGGATAGTGTTTACAAAATAACGCTTCGCTGGAAGGCCGGTATTGAGACTTCTATTACATCAATGTGATATTTCATATTCAGCTTCAAAAAATGCATAAATGAATTCCCCATACATTTTAGAATCAAACTGCAACTGGTCTTTGTCACCAATGCCAACTGTCTAGATAAAATAAGATCTAAACATATTGGGTGTGAAAACGAACGCTGTGCTCGAAAGACTGCGCTGCTTCAAATGTAAACAAAGACAAAACCTATTTTACACTGTGTAGCATTTTCTGAAATTTTCCAACATTCATCCGTCTATTCATAGCTTGCAATGGCTCAATACCTTTGGAATATGCATGGAAAGAGTATCGTAGCAAGAAAAAGGAAATTATAAATAGATACAATGCAATGATTTGATAATTCATAAGAAATTGTCAAAGTTTCCGTGCAGCGTGACGCCATGACTGATGCAAAATCACGCAGAACGACAACTGTAAGCATCAGCATTTTTGGCTTCTTCTCTTACTTACATTAAAAACGATAAAAACATATAACAATACACAGAAAGTCAGAATCATTCTGATTACTTACATCTCATATTTGGGGCGGTGGGGTAGCCTAGTGGTTAAAGCGTTGGCTTGTCACGCCGAAGACCTGGGTTCGATTCCCCACATGGGCACAATGTGTTAAGCCCATTTCTGGTGTCCCCCGCCGTGATATTGCTGGAATATTGCTAAAAGCGGCGTAAAACTAAACTCAGTCAGTCAGTACATCTCATATTTATGTACAAACGGTCCCTGAATCAATGGAAGGGTCCTCGAAAAATCCTGTGTATCCTTGTCAGCAAAGCCGCCATTTTGTAAGAAATAGGTCATCGGTAGTGATGTCATACGTCAACATTGTTCTACATATTAGGCAATTTCTTTGAGGTGAAGGTCGGTTGAACAAGAGTAAACACAATCGCCCAATCCTTCCGATTACACTGTCAGTATTATGGTGTATATTTTGCGGATAGTTCAGACACTTTTTCATGAAACCCACTTCAGTATCTACATTTAGCCTTGTTCAATATCATATCATACGTGCATATAGGGTTTACGGTGTTTTATTCTTTGAAAGTTTTTGATTGTTTGAATAATATTTACATAAGAAATTGACACATTTAGTGCAGTACACCATATTCTTAACCTTTATACAAGTGTTAGAAGATCAAACGTAGCCATAACTGCAACTACTTTAGTTCCTATGATGAACAATATTCAATGCATTTGAACTAATATTGCAGTTTCACATGAACAGGTTAATGAACGGAGATTGAATTCAACCTTATAAGTAAAACTGATAATATTTAATGAACATGATTTATATATGTTATGAAATGTATATGCACCCATATTTAAAGGAATTGTCTTGTTCTTTGCACATTTTTGTGTCGCTTTTATAGAGAAAACAATGGTGTAAATTGATTGGCCAGGTGTGCCGTTTTTGTCGGAAACGCTTTATGATTCACTATCATTGTTTTCGATAATATAATCAATTCATATTCGATTTAAAAATATTGTGATGACAGGATATCAAACTCTAACTATATTTATACGAAAAAAATTTAAAAATATATAAACCATGTCATGTCTTAATTTGGACAAATCTTACATCCATATTCTAACATATAGTACGTACTAGTTCCATATATAAAGCTATCTGTTTGCATCTTCGATTGCATACTTATGAAGAGAAATAGCTACATAATCATAAACAAAGAAAATTCTTATCCTAAACAATATATTCGGGTGTTTTGAAATGTTATCTTTCATTTACGTTACATTAATGCCAAACAGGTGCGCGTGTTGCTCACAAAAAGATACACAGTCAAACTGTCTAAGTGTTGATATATTCAGGACACTATTTAAACGGAAAAATCAGTCATTTTATGTTTTGTCTAAAGAGTGTTAATTCTGACAAAGAAGCCGAGACCTTTCACACAATTAATGGAAATTAGGTGAGATATATACTAATCAGCATACCAATGTCGTCTTTTTCCGACGTTGCAAAATTCACAAAACAAGCAATGACGTCAACTAAAATGTTGTGTTATTTTCAGCAATTTCATTACATTTGAAGATATGGCTATTACTCTGGTAATAACGATGCAAAATTAGTCAAAATACATCTACACAAACAGGAGAATATGGGAATCTAAGAACTAACTTATATATCGGATAGGGCCATCCAAATCGCTATTACGTGCTTTCACATGTAGTATGCGTTGTCATCTTTTCTTATAAATTGTGTAACTACCAAAGCGTATCCGCTCTTATTGGGGAACTTTGAACTGGAATAGTTTGGTTCACCATGAACAAAAGATAACGAAAATATAGCGTCCGTATCCACAACAAATACTCTCCATGTGATCTGAGTTACATTGACCTAGTTTTAAGAATAATGGAGTTATGCCCCTTATCATTATCTCGCATTATGACCTCTCTGTCATGCCGCTTTTGACGCGTGGAAGAAAATCCATTTTTGACATTTATTGCGAGTCATTTTTAATGTTGAGCGCATAATGTTATGCATAAGCACATAAATCCGATTCATATACACTTATGTCGTTCAGATATCAGGCTGTATTTTCTTCGCTCACACTTTCTGAAAAGATGCCAAAATAAAAAAATCGTAGCACAGTGCTTTTATTGGTGCTTAGCA